GTCATAAGGCCAATAGATTCTTGGGTGCCTGGAACAAATGGTTGCCTCAGTTGTCAGAGCAGAAAAAAGAGCTTCAGATATGGGCAAATTTGACTTCAGAGGAGGTGATTTACTGGTTTAGCTGTCTGCTTAGTGACATAATTCTACCCAGATGGGAATATTAAGACTTTGAGTTCAAATTCTGACTTATGTATGAGAAATTCAACATTAATAATGCTTCAGCAAAGCCCATTTCACTTAAACTATGCTGATATGCTAGACTATGCTAATAACCTCAGCTACCTATATTATTTCTGCAGCAAATAAATATTTTAAATCCTCTCATGGTATTAATAATCTGCTTTTAGGATCAGGACAGTAAAGTAATGCTTATACAGAGAGAAGGATAGATGAACAATGGACATATAAAAAAGAAGGACATACCCTGGGAAGAAATTTTCTCTAGCCCTTCAGTGACTCATTCACAATATCTGCAGGACTTAATTAGAGTCAGCACAGACGATAAAGTGCCGACCTTACCTAAAGAGACATACATTCACAGCAGGGTCCACATAGCCATTGGTGATGACTGCAACATCATCCATTTCTAAATCTTCTTGCTTCATCTTTATTCTCCACCATCACCCCGTTTCTCCCAACCACTCCGTCATTCTCCTCTGTCATTCTGTCGCTCCCTCTTACTTTAACCTTTCAAGCCACAATCTCACTTTCTCCCACTCTCTCTATAAATATCTGTCTCTGAGTCTCTTTTCCCCCCCTCTCTCACTTCTGAGGAGAGCAGGGGAATCTTCCATCCCCCATGGATGCGAACACCCACTCAAGGTTAGGAGTGCTGCAGCTCCAGGGGCTAAACAGACCAGGGTTTCTACTGTCACACAGGACGAACTGAAAACATTTGTAGAGTCCACAGCATTAACAGCCCACACTGTCAAACACAAACTCACTTATCTGATAAAAGAATCTAAAGCTTAATTGAATTTTACGGTCTATAAGGCTCTAATACAAAGTGATGTTTCAGTGTGTTCCCTCTTTCCCCAAAATACTACAGAGAAACACAATTAAAGTTTTATAACCTATTTAGCTGAAAAAACACTTTCTGCAGTCTTATCCCCCAGCAAAGCAAAAAAACAACAATGCAACCATCTTATGCATGAACCTTTTATGATTCTCTCATTTCATTGGTGGTCCAAATGGATTGAGAGCTCTGCAGAACTATACATAGCCACCCTTTTTAACTCTCCCTCCTGGCAGCCAACCCAAACAAATACACGCTCGTATCACAGTACAGAATATCACGCTCCTGCCAGTCCAACATCCAAACGTAAGGAATCTGAGCTTATTCTGCTTGTAAGTCTCACATGCTAAGAATGTTTGAAAGGGGCTTAAATGTAAAATGTAAATTCAAGATAGCACAGCAGATACAAAATTCAATATTCCTTTTTTAATGTTTCTTCTTAATGCTGTCTGATGTGGGTATTAAAATGAGGTCAGCCAGGCCTGACGAAGAAATTACATGATTTAATGGCACCCCAGGGGAAGTTTAAATATAGCTCTGCATTACAACTGGCCTCCAATAGCACAGCATGACATGGGTTCATCCATAAACACTTAAATCCTGGATGGTACCGGGTCTAAGCACAAGTATTACAGTGAACAAATACTACAAGTCAGTGAAGACCTGCCAGTCTGCTGAAGCAAACACATTTGCTTATAATGAAATATCCCAGTATAGGGAAAACATGGGTGGGGTGGAGGAAGTGGAGATGGGGCTGTGTGTTTAATTGTTGACTGAGTTGCTGTGCCCTGCACTGCCACTAGGTGGAGGGACAATCCATACCTACTCATCAAAAACTTGTCATTGGTGTGGCCATTCTAGACTCTTAAAGAGTTTTCTAAACACACATAACCTTGTTCTTAATTCAATAAACATCCAAACATGGAAATAAATTCATGGGGGACACAAATTCATAAAAAAAAATCATCCGGGCTGGAAAAATTGTGAATATAAGCATCAAAAATATGCAAGCAGATCAAATATGGATTAGTATTCATCTTGTATTAGTAAAGCAAAGTCCATTTTACACGACACTCACATGAAAGCAATGTAGATGGAGACGTCCCACTGGGAGCTGCAGGCAGCTTATTCCCTATATAAACCATTTCACCATTCATCTGCATTCAAGGTAGGAAATCTCTTTCATGGAGACTTCAAAATAATTTCCCTCATCATATCTTAAAAGGGAAACTGCATCTAATAACATCAAATGCTGAGAAGCAAAGCTCAGGTGAGAAATACAAGGATCAATCCTATTAAGAAATTAAAACATCAATCAATATCAAACAAGATAAATTTTAAGCAAAGAAATGAAGTCAGATGTTCAGTCGCACTGAGAAACATGAAAGATGCTTGCTGAAGTGTAAAATGGAGAATTTCCCTGCAGAGATGAGCCTAATTTTGTGATCCTCCTTAAAGACTGATCAACTTTAGTTAAACTCACAATGGCAGTTTGTTCTAACACAAGTTAAAGTATGACTTCAAGCTCAGTGCTGGAAACATCAAATTGGTAAAGAGTCGTGGGATTAAACTAAGTGGAACTGATAGACAATTTAACAAAAAAAAAAAAAAAAACATTTGTGAAGCCAGAATGAACTGTGCTATCCAGATTGACATAGCTAATGAAGCCTGGCAGATGTAGGTTACATCTGGTCCCACTGGTAGAAAGCAATCCTGTAGTGAAGGCAGGGAGGCACCAGCCGCTGTGACAGCTCCATTCAAGACTCCAAGCTGAGCTAAGAGGAGGTGAGAGCTGTGAATACCTTTAATTAACTAAGACTGCAATATGCTACCCTCCATTCAATCGTTCTCTCTGCAACAGTTAGATGCAGACCAGCTAATCCGGATTCACAATATGACATTTTCTCTCTGCTTCACTCAAAATGCAATACCCATGATCTCCCAGCACTCTTCAGTACAGTCAGTCAGCCTTCTTAGTTTTCCCTCATTCAAGTGTCAGCCTGCGTTCACCCCTCCCTCCCTCCCTGACAAGGGTCTTGAGTTATTAGACAACACCAACCCTCATCAGTTAGTGTGAAGTGAAGGCAGCTCTGAAGTGATGGCAGATGACACATGTCATCCCACAGGGCCTGAGTGTTTTCAGCCAAAACATCACACAATGCATTCAAAGAAGGCCTGTTTCTACCAGCTTTGCAATTTAAATGAAGACTTAAGACCTCTAGACACATGTCAAAGAGACAGCACAATTTCCGATTGGAGTGTGTTGGGAAAGGAGGAAATGATGTCTGTCAAATGGTGAATAGTTGTGAAGGATAGTCTCGTACCTATAGTGATAAATGAATTGTGGTAAAATTGCATGGAGATGGAGGATATCAGACAGGTTGTAAAATGTCCCATATTGCAGCTCTTCAATCAAATGTGCACCCTGTCTAAACACACACACCAGCAGAACAGCCCAACAGAAAGTAAGTAGAGAGTGTAGGCTATAGCAGATACTGTCATGCAAACCATCTCATAATCTCACAGCATAATGTTCAAACATGCGCTTGCGTTCCAAACTCCAGCTTCCCCTGAACATTATTCTGTATCCTATCTGCTTCTCATATTCTAGTTGTGAACGCCCACCAAGAGACAAGCTCTCCAAAACTGCAATAGGTCAATGTCAATATGTTAAGAAAAACCCTCATTACACTAACAGTCACAACACCGTGCATATTCCGATTTACTGTGCACCCACAAACTCAGCGCACCACAAGACCACTGAGTAGGCGTTGACCTTTTACTAACAAACAATCTCTCTGTGTTTGCCCAGAAGGGAAAATTTCAACAATGCCGCAGACACCAAATTGTCAACAGCCTGCATTTAGGAGTAAGTTTACAAGCCTATTTTGATTTGACCTATGCCAATAACAGTGTATCTGATTTATGACATTACAGTAAATCATCAACTAGAGAGACTAACTGGAGCAACTGCAAAATGAGTACACTTTTGTGCTCTAAAATAGGCGTGTCTCTGTGCAAAGACAATGCCACAGTAGCTGTAGGGTGTGTAGCGCTAGACTGTTACACACATTACTGCTTAAAGCTGTAACATGAAACATAATCTATTTGGCTGTATGTGCATGCAGGCAATAATATTTTGTTTTTACTAACTGTGCATTTAGGACACCAGTGCACCACATTGAACATGAGTTCAAGCGCCTACATTAGTCCTGAGGAGTCCTTGAGCCGGATACTGACACCCTCTCAGCTCCAGATGTGGCTGAGCCTGACATCTGACCTGTGCATGCACAAAGACAAGTTCTGCATCAAGAACAAGACAAGTACCACATTAAATCATAATGTATAGCTCAATTTTCAACATCAAAACATGGACATTGCTGATGATGCATTTTAGTGTGTACTGCTACGGTATCACCACTGGAGTGATCATACTCAAAGATAAGGACAAGGCTACAATAAATCACATCTGCAAACAACTCATGTTTTCTTCACTCCCCAACCATTTATTCTTTAGTAGCCTGATTTGAAATTAGGTGAACAAATGACAATATGAAATTTTACCTTCTGACACATTTGTACATCAGTGTAAATATACTCAAGTACAAGTAAAAGTCCTAAACAAAGTGTACTTTAAGTGTCACAAATAAAAGTTCTTGTTATGCAGGAAACTGGTGGGTACTACTTTAAATTTATACATGCTATATATTTATATTTTTAAGTAACACTGTAGTTGGCTGAAGTGTGGCTATTTATAACAAAATATATTGTCTGGTAGCTGTACAACAATGCATCATATTTAATGAGCTCATATGTTTTGTTTAAATCTGCTTGCAACAAGTGACTAAAGGTGTCTAGTATAAAATAGCAGTAAATTGAAGCGTTTTACAGTGCTCAGAAAGTTTCACGTTGGAATAAAGGAGAAGAGGAAGTTGACACATTTACACCATATCGAAACAGATAACTGAAGTGAGACTTTCACAAGGCTTAACGCGATTTTCAAACAACAATTCACAGGAGGCTGAACCGTAGCAACAGAAGGAGGAAGTCACCTTTCTAAAGTTCAGTAAAGCACACCGGCTATACCTGGTAGTAAAGTAGAGGAGGCAGTCGCTGCTGTGCTTTCAGGAAAATGTCAAGAACTGCTGCTAACGGCAACTCAAAAACACATTTGAACCAGAATGGACTGAAAAGCGAAGACATCAAGAAAAATGGCTATCACAACAAGAGAGAGGTATGTCTGTCAGCGACGGATTTTATTTACAAAAATATGTGTACCACAGTACGCCTGCTTTATGGTCCCCGGAGTATTTTACCGCTTCCTTTTGAATAGACAATCTTAAATGTTGTATGACAACATTAGTTTCATTGCGGCTCTTTACCTGAATCGACCTCTGTGACGTAGGCAAACTTTGTAACCCACAGAGGTTGTTTACCTACTGAATAAACAGCAACAATTAACATCTATATAGTACTCACTGTGTTTGACGATATGCACATAAAAGTTAATCATGTCATTGTGTTCTTAATCTCATATAGCAGTTGTAGAACGTACTAATAACTGGTTTGTGATATGGCTACCTAATAAAAAAAATTAAAAAAAAATCAAACACAAACTATATGACGTTCTTTTTACAGAGGATAGGATTGTTCCCCTAAAAAGAACAACATAAACAGCAATAAAAGAGCCAACGACCCCGCCCTGAAATTTTTCCTTTTCCTCAAAGCAGGTTATCTCTGACCTCAGGCTGGTTAGGTGAAGAAGGTGTAGTCTGCCTGCTTCTGTTTAACATTTTTCTCTGTACATTGTAGCCTATGCACACTTTCAATTAATGAGTTACTTATTAGTTAGATGTAACAGGTGGTCTTTACAAATTAAGCTTGTCCATTCTGTTCTAGTTCTCTTTTGTATGAATTTTAATGTCACACAATCTCCAACTATCTGTAATAAAATGCAACATCACCTGTAGCTGCGTCAGTTAGCCCAGCAAATTATGTTTTCATTTGTACTTCTTTTTTTTTTAATACGCCTGACATTCAGAACCGAGACAGGATAGATTTACTTAAAAACAACCCCAGCCTGATATTTATTTAATTGTAACATATAAGGGGGTATAGTGCGTTTGCATCCGAGTCATAGACTGCGTATTAGGTGTCCACCATCTTGACCCCATTCATCAGGTCACTTTACAGGGATGACAGTTTTATCCTTTCACATGCTAACTGCAGCTTTTTACGGGCTAACTGTTAGCATCTTCGTACACGCTAGCTAAGCTTTAAATGGTGATATTTCAAACCCGAGCAGTTACATTAAGTAACACTTACCGCTACTTAAAGGTGGAATTTCTGTATAAATGGTTTAAAGAAAAAGTACTCCGTTCGCTTCACAAGAACCGAGATTTTAATCAAGCATCAAAAGCCCTGCTGTTATACCAATCAAACATGGCAGCCGGAAATGACATGTCAAACGCATTAATGCTCTTAAATTTTGGAAATATCTTCATAAAACCAGTAAGTAATTCAAGCAACAATCAAGCAATAATTTATCTCTCTGAAAAACAGTTGCTAATTCTGTGACTCCTATGCAAACATCTCACTGTAAAAAAAAACAAAAAAAAAACAATAAAAGGCACAAACTGGGGTTACCACCCCACTCATCTGGAAATCTGCTCCCTTGAATAGCACAGGGAATTCTTTGTAATTTCTTGTGCAAGTTGCATCATTTCAACTGTTAGCTTAAATTGTAATGGCAGCCAAGAATTTCAAATGCACATTTAAGTTCTTTCACAATATAAAGTATTTTACAATCTTTGTAACTTGCTCATGCTGACTCGTAGGTAAATTCTGCTTCCCAGAGACGGACTATGCTCGCTTTTGTAATTATTTGAACCTTTTCAATGCAAAATGCAAATCTTTTATTTGGTGTAACAACACTATGCAAAGTCCTCCTTTTTTCTTTTTCTTTTTGCTTCAGCTTTGTATTACTTACATCTGTGCACCAGTAGGCTGCTGTTTGTCTCCTTTTTTTATTCAGGTTAATTGGTGTGTTAACCACCACCCTTCGCTTTTATTCAAGCAGTATTGTTTTCTCTTGTTTCATCTGCAATGTAAGACAGCTTATGTGGGCCTCTTGTTGTATAGAAAAATGGCCCAGGGACTAGTGTTGCCTCCAGGCAGCACAGACAGGAGTCCTTTGAACAGGCGCCCATGTACGTGGCTGTCATGACATACCTGGGCTTTGGCATCGTCACCCTATTTGGCTACCTCAGAGATTTCCTCAGAGCTGTGGGCTTAGAGAAGTGCCACCTTGCCCAGGAAAGAGAGGAACAGAAGGTAGGTAAAACATGCAATCAGCACAAACATAAGCATATTGTAGGGCATACACACATACTGTAGACACACACATGCACGCAGTTGTAGGAGAAGAGCATGTTTGCCTGGGGTGTTAACACATTTTGTTTTCCCCTAATTATTTCAATTTTTGCTCTTAAGCTCTCCCTCAGCCTTCCTCCTTCATGTTCTTCTGCACTACAGTGTTGCCATGGGTGAGACAGGACACCACAGAGAATATCTGCTGAAGACCTAATTAAATCTCAGAGGATTCAAGTTCTTTCTTTGTTACTGTGCTTTAGATTCTAGATAAGGCCTGAACAGTGCCACATAAGAGCCATTGTGTTGCCATAGATTTCGATTCTTAAATTCAAAAATTGCAGTTAAGATAAGTTGGTAGTAGTTAATCATTTGTTTTGTGCAGCTCATGTTAAAAAAAAAAGTTATAACCTTAAAAAAGGCAAAGGCTCTAATAATCTTGGTTGACACCATTGTCAGGGGATCAATGTGAAAATTGCCTTGAAGTATGAAAATATACAGTACCTGTAAAAGCTACAGTACTGTAGATCTAACTCCCCTGCCAAGGTAACAGCTGAATTGGTGGATTGAAAGATTATAGCAGAATAACAAAAGTCACCTGCCTTGATGTAGTTCAGAGGTGGACACAATATAATGAAAAACTTTATGGTCTTAGAGGGTTGCTTTGTTCTAGTGTTCAAGTAGCTCTTAGTGCGATCAATGTGATCAGAATTCAAGAGGTCACTTTTTCTACTCTTATTGCGCCACCACTCTGTGACATCCTAGTAGTTTAAACTGTTTCTCTCTGACTTCAGGATTTTGTGCCACTTTATCAAGATTTCGAGAACTTCTACACTCGAAACCTGTACATGAGGGTACGAGACAACTGGAACCGTCCCGTATGCAGCCTGCCAGGGCCTGTGTTTGACCTGATGGAGAGGGTGTCTGATGACTACAACTGGACATTCAGGTAATGTAATCGAGTCATCTGTGATAGACATACTGTAGATGAGACATACTGTTGGCTCATAATCATTTTACTACTCAACTTGATCATTTACAAGTGTTATTCCCAGCTTCAGACAGGGAAGAAAATGTTTTGAGCACAATTATCTCTCTTCTAAAGCAAGAAACTAGACAACCAAGATTTAATTAGATGAATCAAGCTCCTCTACAATGAACTAATAGAGGAAGGTAGAAAATAAAATACATGGGTATTTCTCAGGAAGGATATGTCAGTCCTGAGTTTGTGGACCACAGTTGAGATTCCTCTGTGCTGCACAGCAGGGTCAGGGAATGTATTATGAATAGGAATATGAACAGAGCCACGGGGAGGGGAACTGACATTATGAATCAGGAAAGAGGGGTAAGCATGGATTACATGTTTAAAGAGGTTTAATGTGACTGGAAAAAGTAGAAATGGGGCAGTCAGTTTGTCTTTTGTAGTGATGTGTTGTGAATGGGTAAAGAGACATGCAGATGGGTTTTGTAGCGGTTTGCAGGTTTACACGAGCAAGGAGAAGAAGTAGGTCGGTTGACGAAAGGGCGCAGCTCCCTTAAAATACTTCTAAGCTCCGATGATGTACAGCAGGGATCTACACTGTTAACTGACCATGTGAATTTAGATGATGTTTACCTGAAATTGTTTCACTCAGACGCTAACCCTAACCCATCTACTCCCAGTTCACTCACTATGGAGTTGCATGTGTACTTGCATATTATAGGGGAGAATAATCTCTTGATTCTGGCTGAAATGAGTTGTGGATGTTTGATTAGGTGCTTTAAAAAACACCTAAGGAAATGAAAATAACAAATGCTGCTTCTACATGCAGTCACTGCTGTTTACATTAGATAAACATTGTTATAATTGCACTTCTCATGAGCAAAACTCCACTGATGAAGTAACAAGTTTGTGATTAGCAGTTATATTTAATTGAATTTTAATTACTTTTTATAGCATCTAATTAATTCTCTGAGTGCTCATATGTGTAGAAACAATAGAAAAAGGCTAATTGATTCCTGATGTTTACATGCTTGCAGGTTTACTGGGAGGACAATACACAATGCCGTCAACATGGGCTCTTACAACTACCTCGGTTTTGCTGAGAACAAAGCTGATTTCCTGAAAACTGTGGCAGACAAAATCCACCAGTATGGAGTTGGGGTTTGCAGCACAAGGCAGGAAATAGGTGAGGTTGTGGTTGTCAATTTAACATTGTACACATGAGAATAAAATGTGTGCCACTTGCCCTCTTAAGCTAGTTTTAGTAAGAGCAATCATTTTATCTTGAGCAAAATGTCCACTTCACAATTGAAGTCAGTCATATTGGCAGTGTCTCTTTTATTTTAATCTTACAGTGCTTCAAATTTCTGACATGTGCATCTATTTTAAAAAATCTCTGACAGACCCCAGTGACACTGAATAGGTTGAGTATCAAACTGGAAATGAAACTCCTCATCACATATGCCATCATTTATTATCTTTCTCGTGAATTATACTGCCCACATATTTAATTATCTTTCAGTGGCTGCAATGTAATATGAATTATTAAACCTTTGTTAAATTATGTACCGTTTGGGCATAAGCTGAGATCATTACATACTGGTACACACTGCGGAGTGCTGGAAATGATATCACAGTGGAATGTAACATTATGAAACACCCTGGACATTAGGAAGGATGCAAAAATAACATATGTGATGGAAGTGTTAAGCAGCAAGGATCAGAGCCTGGGATCTGTGGCTTCAGATGAATTTTGAATGGTGTTTTATCCTCTGAACTTCAACCCTGCCTCTCATGGTGTTTAAGTGGCTGTGCATGCCAGGATCTCATGTTGCAGTATAGCAATGGTGCAGCAGTGAACTCTAATAATTGGCCATCAATTGTATGTTTTTTTCTTTCAAAGGAAACTACAAAACTTGCTGAGTGATTAACATTATGAAGCTCATTGAAAAGGCCGCACGCAAAGTTTCCTCAAGAGAAGTAGTTCCTTTTCTCTCTGTCAGTGATGTTTACTTTTGTTTTTGTTTATTTCTGACACCAGTATCTACTGACTGAAAGCTAGCACAAGGTGAGCTGACGAGTTGAGTCGCTCCGTAGTTCTGAATGATATCAGCAGTTTGACAAGAACAGAGAAAACCACAGGAATTAAAGGGCATGTGATCATTAGTTATACGTATGTTTGTCAGAGTGCAAGTACATACCCCCCCCCACACACACACACACACACACAGACACACAGAAACACTCCACACCATCCATTATTCATTTGTGTGATTTATTTATATGTTTATTTCTCTTTCAAAATGGGACTGTTTTTCCCTGGGTTTGTAATCTGCGTTTCAGCTGGCTCACTGAGAGGGTTAAGGAATAACAAGCATGTCTCCCATGAGACTTTATGAAGCATCAATTATTAAAGACCCCAGTGTCTCTGCAGTAGAAGTGACACCATCATCACCAGTGGCTTAGTTCACATGCAGCAATTTGTATCAGGGAAGATCTTCAAAATCCAAATTTCCTGGAAGAGTTTCTATTGAATTTACCAGCACTCGCTTTCTTCAAAAAAAAAATCTGATTCAAAAAATAATTCTTCTTTCACACTCTGTGCCTCTGACATCCTCCCAAGGTCGAGTTCAATTCAGTCACGTTGAGTTGGCAAAAACTTATGAATAATTTTCCTACAACTACACTGTATGTGTGTAAGTACACAGAGAGCACAATAGGAGGTGTTTCTTTTTTTTAAATAGGCATTAGTAAGTAGATACAAAGTGCACTGAAAGCACACCTTGAGAAAAAACACACGTCAAACATTCATGGATTTGTATTAATGGATAGCTCACTGTTCCCAACTCTCCTGCAATCATTAACATACAGTAAATTAGATAATGATGTCATGCTTTCAAATGAATGGCAAATTACCCATAATACATACACGTGCAGTATATACTGATATAATTGGACTATTTAAAATAAAGCCATATGTGCTGCTGTATTTGTCTAATGATTAACTCTCTTTTTTTTTTGTCTTGTTGTAAAGGCTTTGAAGACAAACCTCAGTCACAGGTTCATAATGAAAGTGACAAATTTAGCCGTGAGCACACTCTTTATTGTCTCTCCACATTAACACTTTCCAACCCTGGCAATAGTAATTTAGCTTTCTCATCAACAAGCTTTGATGATTGTGGTGTCAGGAAGGTGACCTTCAGAGGACAGGTGACCACATTTAATATGATTTTATTCAGTCAGATCTATTAAGGAGTCTTACTTACCTGAAGAGTATGCGGACCTACAACAGCCTTATGAGGTTAGCATGTCAATAAGAAGGCAGGGCATGCCTATGAAGCCACAGCTAGGTAAAATGTTCTGTAGAGAGAGCAAATGTTCATTGCAGTCTGATTAAAAAAGCTGCATGAGGCAGCAAGGGCTGTGAGTCTGAGTGGTTGAGGAAATGTATGAATCAATTTGACTTGGCGTAAGGCCTGATGGAAAGCACTGAACAGGAATCACCATAAAGACAGAGCTGCTTCACTGCATTATGGTTTTAAACACATCACTCAATATCCATTTTCCAGTCCTTCCTGAAACATTCAGTCTGTTTGAACTTTTTAATGCCTGCTCTCGTTGGTTACTGATTCTCATCGATTATGACTACAGTGGTAAGTATCCCATGTATATGCAATTAATGCACCATTTTCTTATGAGGATTGAATTAATGACATCACCCCTCTATACCAGGATTAATTTTCATTCACAGTGCTGATGGTATCTGAATAAATGTGTTTCCATCTTGCAGGTTTTCAAATAAAAATGCTTCATTAAATGTCTTTTTACTGACACTATTACTTTTGTGATGTGGGCAACTGTGTCTTTACAGTAACAGAACACTAATGAGTTTTAAGTATTTGTATTTTATTTAACTTTGAGTCTACAGTGTAGTGACTAGTAACTACTATAGCATGGTATAGCAAGTATAGAGTGAGTTAAAATTTATGGAGCTCATACAGTATGTTATAGTATATTTCTACCAGAGCCAGCAGAAATAAAATACAGTATATATGAACCTTTCACTGCCTTTCTCTCTGTAGCACACAATTATGATAGTAATTCTTTTTTTATCAGCTGACCACAAGGGCAGTACTAAAGCACCCCGGAGATACCTGAAAATCCCACTTTTATTGCACAAAATAGAAAAACACCATGTCAGGTGAATCAATTTTCTAAACGAATTCTGGTCCCCATCTGTCACATTGGGTTATAACCAACTGCCTCAGTCCCGAAATGTGCTGCAGAACCATTTTAGACCTTGCAGGACTTGCCTTGATATTACCTGGGATGAAAAAGGGTAGTTGAACTAAATTACAAATTTACCACATCTTGAATCTTTATAAAGCTCTTAAAATCCCCAGAGAGCGAGAAGGTGCTGACACTCTGTGTGCTGGTAGTCCACACTTTTGCCTGTGGGTCTCTTGTTTTTTATCAGGAAGCATTTATCTCTGCCAAAAGTTGTGATTGGATGCCAAAGAACAGCAGAACCCACGGACTAAACCAATAGATAAACCACCAGGTAGAGTGATCTTGTCACAGGGTGACTCATCCTTTGTGATCTCTGTCTTGTAGGTAACCTGAGCATCCATGAAGAGCTGGAGAAACTTGTGGCCAGTTTCCTTAGAGTAGAGTCCTCCATGACTTTTGGGATGGGTTTCGCCACCAATTCAATGAACATTGCTGCACTTGTTGGCAAGGTATGTGATTTTACATAGTAAATGGCACATGCCGTATATAGGAAATACTATTGCATATGTGTGTAATTTTCACAGTGCTGCAGAAATTAATCTAATTAGCTTAGCTTTTGTTCCTTTCTTGCATATAGCCTAAATTAATGAATAACAGTCAAGTAAACTCAGCTGCGAATAACTCCTGATCCACCCCCATTAATTAAAATCATAATTAAACATTACAGTAGCCAGGAGGACGAGGCTCTGGGCATACATAGCTGCTTTCAGACACATAGACAAGGAAGGGCAGGTTTTGTTAAGAGCACCACTCAAGGGGATGATTACCCATACTCTGGCCTGTTGGCACACCAGCCTGGCTCACACAGACAGTCATGGGTTACCAGGGGCAACACACAGCATGAATATATGTGATTGGACTGGACAGGAGGAAGGGGAGGCTGATGGTTTAAGTGATGAGAATGGGGTCATTTATGCAGCTCAAGAGGTGTAGCAGCCCCTTAGGCTGCAGCCCCCACAGTAACCCTGCTGGGGCTGGGGTCAACCCACACTGCCAACTCTGTCCTACAGGGACAGACTGTGCCAGGACAGGCCTTGCTGTGCAGGCAGAGTGACAGCTGCTGGTAGACCAGGGACCAGGCCAGCTGCACCCCAGGCCAAACCGAGGGTATCTGTCACTGAGACGGTGTCAACATACCCTCTACAAGGGTTCATTCAAACTAATGCAGTCAAATGCTTGGAGCTTCAGTGTTAAATATGTTAATGTACTAGAGAATAGCTGAATTCATTTGCATGCTGATTTCTATGGAATGTGAAGTACCATATTCTCTATTATTAAGAGTATGATGAGTCTTCTGGCTGAAACAGACATGATAGAAGTGAAAAACAATTATCACGTACATTGGATGCAACTACTAACATACATAGATTTAAGTGTGAATGGGAGCAGAGTAGGAGGAATGGGCTGCCAGATAATTGGCCAGGTGGATCTTTTTACAGTGCCAACTAGCATACATTACATTATTCAGGACAGAGAATAAAAGCACAAAATTCATGTTGAAATATACAAAACTAGGCAATTTTTCAGAAAACAAATAAAATCATATGGGTGGGTAGTATATACTGCAATTATTTTCATCCATATACAGTCATACAGTGTTTACTGTTTACAAGCCAACTATATTTTTCCGTAACCAAGGGGAGAATCTAATTGGCTTCTTCACCAAACATAGACCACTAAATCCAAAATGCCATCATACACTATCTGTTCTACGGTGGCCCTTAGAGCTCAACGCACTGCAGCTTAAGCAAACGCATGCAAATAGACAAAACAAACAAGTTCAGAAAACATCTTCATCAATTTGACAACGCATGTGCTGCAAATATACACAACACAACCAAATACAGAACCATGCTGCAAACATTCACAACACAACAGAATTGTTTCCAGGGGACACAAAAAAGTGATGAACCCGGCTGGGACGCACTTGCATGCATGTATTATAATGCATTCATGCACACTTTTTTTTAATGCTTTTAACTTCAAAAATCACAAAGCATTGAACAAGTGCATCCCAACCGGGTTAATCACTTTTTAGTGTCCCCTGGAAACACCTCTGTTGTTCTTCACCGTGTTTTTTGTATTTGCTTATGTTGTGGGTATTTGCAGTGCATGTGTTGTCAAGAAGAAGTTTTCTGAATTTGCTTTGTGTTTTGTCTATTTGCATGTGTTTTCTTAAGTTGCACTTTGTTGAGCTCTGAGGGCCACTATATCCTGTTCTATCTGGGTGTTACACTGGAATTGAAAAGATTTCTTAGGGACATTTGAACAAAGTCTTTTCTCTCTGCTGGTTTTCAGGGTTGTTTGATACTGAGCGATGAGCTCAATCACACATCTCTCATCTTAGGGGCCAGACTGTCGGGAGCAACCATCCGGGTGTTTAAACACAACAGTAAGTCCAGGAACTATTTAATTTTGAATATGAGTCATAGTGTTTCTGGTTAATAATACACAGCATTTACAATGTTACAAACAGTGAGAGACATGTTGTTTCAGTTTTCTAACATTTGTGGTGCTTAACAATCCTGCCCTGTACCTGCCAGAGCATCAAGCTCTATGTCTGTTCTGTCCTGAGATTATCTGCTGATGAAATTTGATATCAGCTGTGCATCCACAGTGAATACTGCATCTCACAGAAGCCAGTTTTTCCTCTATTCATCCCAAACTTTTGCTAGTGCAAGAAACACATTACTCTCTGTGCGGTACAGGATTTGCCTTAGGAAAGACCTACTTAATATTCTGTGTTTAGAGCAGCAAATGTAAAGGCTTTAATGAAACAGGTTCAGTTTACAGTCACAACTGTGTTTTATCCGTCCGCAACAGAGCATTAAAACAAGTTTTTTGTTGTTTTTTTTACATGAAAATGTCATCTTACTTAAGCTTCCTGTTCTCTTGTAATATCAAATCACATATTGTGAATAGATAAAGGAGAATTATTAAGCATGAATGATATAGCATTCATTGTGCTAGCACTGGAAACATCACCTGCTCTTTCTGGAGACAGGACAAATGAACCAGTCCTCTAGCAGCAAATGTGTCCTGACAGGTACAAGCAGAGTCAGTTATGGGTCCTCCAAGCAGATCCCAAAGGCCTGTCTAAAGGCAAAGAGCCCTCAGGCACCTGAGCAGTTGACCCCTCCCTGCCTTATACTTCCAGCACCAGACGCTTACACTCTTTAATCAGCACAAAGCCAATATTTACTAAAGGGGTTATACCAGTTAACTTAGCCGCAACAAAAGATAAATAAGAAAATAAATATTTAGTGATTGCAATGATGTAATGATAGTGATGCAATGTAGTCTCTCTAAAAGTTCTGGGATCCTCTGTTTATGATTTGAAATGTGTAAGGTTTTAAGTGGCCAATCTTTAACATTGAGGGAATCTCATACCAGAGGGAAGATGAACCGGTTTGTCCAGTCTAGCCTATGTAAGGCGTGTCAGGCTTGTTTTTTGGAAATATTTCAAGAAGAAGAACGGACGCTCCTTTTGAGGATTAGCATTGTTATCCTTTCAAATTTTATTCTTTGTGTATTAAGCTAGTAGCATTTCTTCAACCTGAGTGTCAGTGCAAAGATAGGATGAAAACATTTCATGGATTCACATGTCGTGTGTAGAAGCAAAGCCTGCCAACCTTCTCATCACAGTCATACAGTGTCTCATATCCCAACATGTTTTATCTTTCCCTCATTCTTGTCTTTGCACAAAGCAAGTCACTGTGGATTCCTCTTTCACTGTCAGGCTTCTCCCAATGCTGGCATTAATAACATTAGGTGAGTTATGTTCTGTTGAGCTTCAGGAAGTGATTTTATCAGAAGAGCATCGTCTGCCTCTTAAGCAAAACTTGTTTTTGTGTCGTGGCAGCCATATCAATCATCCATGACAGATTATAAGTTTTGACAGGTTAACTCGCTGCTCAGCTGGTTGGATTGCAGTCACACTCTGAATAATGCTCCTTATTAGCTACAGCTATTCAATACTGCCATCTGCTGGCGTGCGGATGAGGATCATTAATTGTGTCACCCATACCTGTTAAAAACTTCACATGCCACTGGGAAATGATTTTATTGAAGCCAAAATTTCAATCATAATCTTAAGCAGCCATGCAGACTGTGCTGAACATACCTTTGGCCTAAGCCATATTTAGCTCAGTTTGTAATCCTCTCTGATACAGATTTTGCAGGTGCGCATTAAAATCAGAGTGCAGAGGTATTTACTGTGTGTAGTTTGTGGAAGGTGTTTCTGCCAGATAAAATAGTGCCTTATGTACTCTGCCCTGCCCAGTGGAAATTATTACTCAACACACTGTTGTTTGGTTTAACTCAGTGTTCCTTGTATACTTTGATTTGATTATTGCTACACTCTACTGTATATGTACAAGCCTAAACTTCTACTTCATACGTTACTGTGCATTAAGTTCTTTGTTTTTTCCCTTACCAAGCTGTGCATTTCAATTTGATTGCTGTGTTCTTCCCTGCTTTAATACTCTCTTTCTCACTCTCCTGTGTGTGTGTGTGTGTGTGTGTGTTTGTGTGTGCGTGTGTGTGTGTGTTTGTGTGTGTGTGTGTGTGTGTGTGTGTGTGTGTGTGTGTGTGTGTGTGTGTGTGCGTGTGTGTGTGTGTCTGTCAGACATGCACAGTCTTGAAAAGATGCTAAGAGAGGCGGTTTGCTCAGGGCAGCCTCGGACTCACAGGCCCTGGAGGAAGATCCTCATCATGGTGGAAGGCATCTATAGGTCAGTTGTTGTTCTTATACAACCCACATACACCTTAGAATAGTCTCTCCCTCACAGACACATGTCTTGGGTCAGTTGAGCTATTGTATCAGTCTTTGTTAGTATGGGCTTCCAGGTGGTTTTGAGCAGCTTTCCACAGCCAGACTCAGGCAGAAATCTTAATTTGTAACCTGAGCAGAGTGTTCAGCCTGTGTTTAGCAGTCCCTGTAATGGTCTCTTTTTCAATTGCTTCCCTCTCCACCCTTGAATAATAGATTGTGTGTGTGTGTGTGTGTGTGTGTGTGTGTGTGTGTGTGTGTGTGTGTGTATGGTTGGGTACTGTTTGATTACTGGAGAGAGGAGGAAGGTATTGTGTGTCTGTCCCGGCAGTGAGCTATCCCGAGTCTTAGTGACCCTCTCCATCTGCTCATTAGCTCCAAATCAAGGCCAAGTGAAGCCACAGAGATTGACTTGGCTACACCCCCAGTTCCAACTGTTTATCACGGCCATTTTCTTTTCTCCTTTCTTCCCTCTCTTTGCCCTCTATCTCGCCTTACATTTCAGGTTTTCTTAACAAAAACATGACATATTCATTGTGCTTTATGTCATTGTTATTTTTTCCTCAAGACATTTAATCACATTCAGTCAGCTGTGAAGTTAAGTTGTTTTATGGCATCGAAAACCTTCAGTTGGTATTAATACAATAATTAGTTGTAACAACAGTCCTGCTAATTTGAGAGACAACTTAATTGCACCTCATCAGACTGCCTTTATCAGGGAATAATGTCTAATGCCGAGCTCAGACATTAGAGAGAAATGCTGCCTTTCGGTACAGCACTGAAAGAGCTAATGCTCCATCTAACATCTCCCGTTAACATCAAAAAGCTTGGATAAGGAGTAAGCATGCTTTAGCTAGATCCTGGGCCTGCCTTTGATGTCCTCATCGGTCCTGGTGAAATCCTGTCTTATGTCATTTGGGCTGCAGACGTTCTCAGCCATAGCTTGGATAGCAGGTCTGGGATTGCTCCATTCCCCAGCAGTATACTCTCTCATGCTGTCTATTTGTAGCCTTAAAAGGCTTGCATCAGAGGGGAGGAAGAGATGGGAGAGAGGTGGGAGTAAAGCAGAAGAGGCCAGCAGAAAGATTCTTGGAAGACTGTGGCATGTCAAATTATGTAGTATGCATTTGCAGATGCTCTGCAGTGGATAACGTGAAGTTGGGGTCAAATTCTTTTCCTTTGAAATTTGATCATATTAAGAGTTTATAAATGATGAAATGCGTGTGCCTGTGCTGTCCCTTTTGTAAATGTATTCTCAGATTGTGTGACTCTCTGTCATTAGCATGGAAGGATCAGTGGTGCGACTTCCAGAGATCATCGCTCTGAAGCAGAAGTATAAAGCGTATCTGTACCTGGATGAAGCCCACAGTATCGGAGCAGTGGGACCATCAGGCCGGGGTGTGACCGAGCTGTTTGATGTGAACCCAGCTGATGTGGATGTGATGATGGGCACCTTCACCAAGAGCTTTGGGGCTGCTGGAGGCTATATCGCAGGAAAAAAGGTTCCTGTGGATCTTTGGATTTTCTATTTCAGTTTAATCTGCCTTCTAGTCAGTATTTCATATATGTGTCCAGTTGATCCAAATATCTGAAATTTCCTCTTGATTTAGTTTTTGTTTTGTTTTTTTGTTTCCGTTATATGTATATATAATTCTGTTATACCTGAGAATTTTTTAACAATTTTATAACATTTTCTTACACATATTTATTATCAAGGCAGGGCTACTCAAGTTTTCTTGTTTAATAAGATTATAGATTATTATTAGATTACATAATTACATGAGGAGAGAGAAGCAAGGCAAGACAAATATACATATACTGAATAACCCTTCTAAAAGAGTCGAATAAAAAAAAGAGGATAAAAATAAGCTAGAATTGATAAAAACTCCTGCTCTAGTTGGAGCAGACCTCCAGAGAGTGTGTGTGTGTGTGTGTGTGTGTGTGTGTGTGTGTGTGTGTGGGGGGGGGGGGGGGGGTTACATGCAGTAAAGGTCCTCAAGCAGAACACTACTAGGGGAGTTGCAGTGTGAAGGCCAGGACCCCCCAGACATTTCCACCAAATGCTGCCAACTTAACACACTGACATGTAACAGCAACTATCTTCTCATAGAAGAGGTGCTGTATTCTTTTTTATTAACTCTTTTGTTACACTTACAGTATTAACAACCCTGCCTTACTTAAATTATAATACCATCTGTCATCACTATTTTCATTTGCCTCCATATCACCAGCTCATAGCCAACCTGTAAAACTCTGAACTTGTAAACTCTGCAGTAGACCAGTCAGGCAGAAACTGGGTTGCTATGTAAAATTAATCCTCCTGGACCAAAACAGGGTCAAGATAAATTTCAAGATAAACATCAATGGGATTAATCGCATTGAAACAGTTCCAGAGAGCCGTGGGTAAATTGCCATTCTTAGAAAGTCAAACGACCGAGCTGGCTCTCTGATACTTTCCAGACATTGTTTGAACAACCTGGCAACCACCAACTGTGTAACAACATTAACTTATTTGGCTCCAAAGCAAGTTAAAATACATCATACAATATTTTACCCAGGTCCGTTTTTAAAGATGTTTGAGACTCAGTCATATATCCCACCTCTCTCATAGCTCTCATGTGTCCAACAAATGTTCCGCAGGCTCTGACTCCGGGCCTTTGTAATTCTTTTTTACTCCATTAAAAAGTACACTTTAGTACATAACCACATCGGTTTTGTGGCAGTTGATTAGAAAGCAACAGAGGAAACGGCCATGTTGTTTGAATTAGGTATTCAGAGAGGGACCCTTCCTGCTGTTGCCTTATGCCGGTTCAGCCCCGCTCTGCCATAATAAGAAGGTAAAGCTGGCAGAGGGCCAGCCCCTTCTTGTGGCAGGCGTCGGAACTGCGTTCCAGATTTAACAGGATGACTTTTAACAAGCATGATAATGTTTGAAGTATGAACACTCTGCCTGGTTTGACAGCTGGCTGTAGTAAACTCCTGAAAGGAACAGGCAGGAAAGGAGAGAGAAAGCCTTTAGATTTGACGTTTTGTTGTTGTGGCGAAATCCCCCAAATCTTACATTAAGTAGATTCGGGTTGACCGACAAAAAAACTCAGCAGATGTGTTCTGGAAAACAGTCATGTTATAGCTATTTTATGGGAGTGCCAAAAATAAATACCCCAATAAATACACTCCAAGCTCCTTCTAATTCACTTCAACCTTGCATGAAGGAGATGTTAGTCATTCACCCTTTACTTAAAGCCTGGATCACACTGAAATAAGGTTATTAAATACATCCACTGAGGAACCAAGTATGTGCAAGTGTGTGTGCAGCTCTGGCACAGCTCCAGCTCTGTGGCATTGTGGACATGTATCACCACATGAGTATTGCGGCCACAGCGTGGTTGAGGAAACACTCTGAGCTGTCACTCCACGCCCCAGACGCGAGATGGATTTCGGACATGTTCTCTTAACTGGTTTATCTTGGTCGCACCGAAATCCTGCAGGGCCCTAAAGCGGTGAAAATCCCCTGCCTTAAACGAAAACAGATGTCAGGTTGTTTCAGGGTTCTTATCCTACGTTTGAGCATTTCCCCTAAAATCCCTTCCCCTTACGTGTTTGAGGAAGCCACAGCCGCCGCCCAGTGGGGACAGATGGCAGTGAGTGGAAATGGTGGCCAGACAGCATCTCCGGCTACGTGTCATCACCCCGCACCCACTGGCCACCACACAGCCACCGAGCAGCAGCCCATCACAGCTCCAGGCCCGCTCCCAACCTCAGACCACTTACACACACATGCTCTAGGGACCCATGACCGAATCAGTTTCCTGAAATCCTGCTCTTCTCTTGACAACCACTAGCAGAATTAATCCCCTGCTGACATTTAGGAATAATGAGCATGACAGTCCTTATTCTGGCTCATTTCAGCATCGGTTCTTTTTCAAATTAGTGCGCTGGCTCCCTCAGAGTGGAGAGCAGGAAAGGATCCAGAGCTTTTTTTTATAGTCGATGCCAAGATAGTCATAGTGACAGAGAAATGACTTGAGGTATTTTAATTGATTCTCAGGTGTTCACTATACGTGAGCTCTATCTAGTGGTGCTAAAAGAAAAGTGCAGGGGCCACACTTCTGTTTCAGAGAAGATCTCAAATTAACAGTTTTTTGTCTGTACACACACACACTATCAGATTTTTCTCAGTCTTTTAACAAAAATACATTGTAAACATATTGTTTGTTATCTCTGCTAATTATCTGAGTGACACTCTGTGCTGTATTGCAGGAGCTGGTGGACTACCTGCGCAGTCATTCTCACAGTGCAGTATACGCCTCAGCCATGTCCCCTCCGGTCACTGAGCAGATCATACGTGCCATAAGGTGCATCATGGGAAAGGACGGGAGCACAGAGGGTGAGTATCTGAGCACACTCTCCATCCAGTGAATGTCATCCTCAATCTCAGTCTTATTATCCACATACTCATCAAGCCTAATGTTCTTCACACAGACAAATATTATGTCTGGCTTATAAAAATTCTTACACCTTTATATAATCTTTATGGAAACAACAGCAAACCAAATCCAGAGGACAGTACCAATGTTAACATTAGGACTAAGTCCAGACCTGCAAGGAAAGACAAACAGCTGCTTGGTCAGAAAATGTGGTAGCAATTACAGGGGTCTGCAGCGGTAGAGAGAGGGGGGACGTGCAGTCCCTGAGCACACGTGACCCTAACACAGAGGAAATCATTTACATGTGTGTGTTGTGAGGAACACTGTACCTCTGAAAAGTTTCTGCTTTAATGGCATCAGACACAAGGGCAGGGAAGTAGTCATTACCGGCCTAGTCCTGATACCGCCAGCACAATTCTTCTTGAGTTATTGTAGTTGTAGCCGTAATACCATGAGTATCACCTGTTGTAACATTAGTTCACTTTAGCCAAACCTGTGGGACTTAAAGTATACACCAAAGGCGAATATATGCAGCCATGTAAACTGTGTGGCATGCAGAGATACAGAACACGCTGAGTGCTGTAATGGGTTAATCACTCGAAGGAACTAAAGCCTGGTGTCTTACGGTACATTGTACATTGTAGTTTCATCCACAGATGAGTAACTTTCTCCTCTGGCTCTGAAGCAGACATGCTTTGGATCTGACGTAGCCCCGTGAAATATCTGTTGTGGAAAAATCAGTCTTGACCTGTGTGATAGAGGGGAGGGACACAGCAAACAGTGCAGCCTTTCAAAACATCAGCTCCAGGGCCCATCAAAACACTATAAAAGCCCACTCTGACAAGAAACGTCACATACTATTTGCATATATGCCTGATGAGTTCTTATTCCTCGTTCTCTCAGTCTTCCACTGTGCTCTTCATCTTTCTCTTTGATGTTGAATTTCGCGCTTTAAAGCAAACTGGTGGCAACGGCTCTGAAATAGGGAAAAGCTCAGAGAGACAGTAACATCCACACATTCTCACATACTCATATGATTTGTGTCTGACAGCAGGTTTTTGACCTCCATGCTCTCTATCTTAGCAGAGGAATAATTTACAAAATGGGGCCTGTGCTTTTTGGCAGATGCCCGAATGTTATGTTTTTTTTCCCCTCTCTCTCTGCTGAGATAAGGGGATTTAAAGTGCTCTCTTACATCCCTTTGAAAGAACTGCCAATCTGTTCCCAGGTAATCAAAGGGAAACAGAGCTGTGTTCCAAGGCTGGGCCATGCCAAACTCTGCTGCAGCCACAGAGCAACCAGGCTCCCCAGTGATTCACATTGTTAGGGAACACAGGGGGCTAACAATACACACCCCCTCTGCTGACTTTGATTTGTTTTCTAATGTATGTGCAATATCTGTAATACATGTGATGCTTAAGCATAGTTTGTCTCAGTCATGGCTATGCTCCAGTGGCAGTCCACAGTCACTCATTTTGTGCAAATTCCATTGTATCCAATTTGCAAACGCTCATCTTGGCAACGTGCAAGTGCATATACCATGCCGTCAGGCAGACAAAACTGAACCATCTGCTGGTGCAGCTGAGATGTAATCATGAGCAAGTTCATGGTGGAGGCTGGAATGGCCCAGATGGAGGTGCAGGACTTAGGATGAGATGGCACTGCAAAGAACACTACACACTACATTAGCCGCCACTGACAGGTGACGTCCCTCTGTGCAGGGGACGGTGGAAATATGTGGAAAAACAGCAGTGAGTTGGTGCTTTGCTCATGTACATCTGGTGCTGTCCTTTTTTTAATTGGAGGCATTAGACGGATCCGCCAGCTGGCAGAGAACACGAGATACTTCAGGGCCAGACTGAAGGAGATGGGCTTCATTATCTATGGCAATGATGACTCACCAGTGGTTCCAATCCTGCTCTACATGCCAGGCAAAGTGGTGTAAGTACATTTAAACTTTCACCAAAAACACTCACCGCTTTTAGAGTAAAATTAATTGAATAGTTATTGTACATAGACTAATCAATGCTAATCAATAATATTAACTTCACTATTTGTTGTTGTCATAAGCAATTTCATGTCAGCTCAGTGTGTATCATCTCTGAGTGATCTGGATGGCTGACATCTTACACACTCCAAAGTTTCTATGATTCAGTAGTGTAGACCTTGTAGACAGTGTAGATTGGGTAACTGTCTGTAATCTGTAACCACTTAAGGGAAAACATAAGGTATTGATTAGTTATAACCAAGGATTGTTTGCGCCACTCAGGTATAATCAATTGGGTATAAAGTGTCTTTCAATGCCAGTCACCATTAATATCCTTGGAAAGGCCATTCCAGCCCAGAAACTACCATAATCAGAAGCTGCTATCGTATTTAACCACAGTAGCAGTTTATGGTTTCACATCGGTTTACATGGGAAACTGGAAAAAAGTTGAATTTCACCAGGTGTATCCTTAAATATTATTTGGAAAAACAGACATTTCTAAAACAATTATAGTGTTACCTCTTGTTATTTCATGATTTTGTCAATGAGATTTCAAAATCTATGGAATTTTATTCCTGTAACACTGACTTGTATTTCTTATGCAATTGTATGAGAGTAATGTGTCTGTAGCTACTCTACTCTATATTAAATCTTCTTCTGGCCTTTACTTTGTTAGTCGTTTTGGATTCCTGCCATTGTCCTAATGACATAGAGAGGTCTTAAAGATGCTGGTGTTAGATTGAGGTTCTGCACCAGCATCTGTACAGAGCACTAGACACATCAACAAGTCATCCAGAAAATTGAAAACCATCTTAACCATTTTCAGAACTCATTTTAAGGTCTGAACTCTCCAAGCCGTCCACAGGAATCATTCTTTGCTCGGCCTCAGTGACGTAAAAAGGCATCAGTGATGTTGCTGCTTCAACCACATAGAACTGATAGCTACGTGTCTGCGTGTGTGTGTGTCTGTGTGTTATTATTATTTATCGTGCTTTACAGAAATTATCACAAGTCATTCTTACCGCACATCCCAACCACATGATTAAGGATTTGGAAGGGCCAGAAAGAGCAACATTCCTCATGACTTTTAATGTGATGAGGCAAAGCAGCTCATTCTGAGGTGACTTGTGGGGTCACTGCACATTTTAAGGCTTCAAACCTTAAAAATATGATAAGTATGTGAGAAATGTGAGCTAAAATATTGCATAGTTTTGTATTCTGTGTTTAGCTCTTCATGTCGATGTTTTTGCACTAATCCAGTTCAATAGTCAGCTGGTGTGTAGTGCAGACACATGAGCACCAGGGACTTCATAGGTCAGTGGTGTCACTGTTGTTGGTGAGAGGTGGCATTTGTAATTCTGAATAGACGTAAACAGGAGAAACAGTTCAACGTGTTTAATATTGCAATTTAGCATCTGATGTTCCAGATATTTTAATTCAGAAGTTTCAAGGAATTTAATGTTACAAAAATATAGATTACTGTATTTCCTTCAATTGATTCTTGTGCTTTTGTGTACTAAAACATCTTCTTCTTTTTTTGCTGACCAGGGCTTTCGCTCGAGAAATGCTGGAGAGGAAAATTGCTGTAGTGGTTGTCGGCTTTCCAGCCACGCCGATTACAGAGGCCCGAGCTCGCTTCTGTTTGTCTGCAGCACACACCAGAGCCATGCTGGACCAGGTACGCGCACACACACACACACACACACACACACACACCCACACACACACACACACACACCCACACACACACACACACACACCCACACACACACACACACACACCCACACACACACACACACACACCCACACACACACACACACACACCCACACACACACACACACACACCCACACACACACACACACACACCCACACACACACACACACACACACACACAGGGAGAGAGAAATTTACTAACATGAAATTCCTCTCTGTGGCCTAAGGATAATTTTTTCATCTGAATCAAACATATAATTTCCCTATACTTTCCCTTTGTCCTCAGGTGCTGCACCATCTGAACGAGGTGGGAGACGCTCTCTGTCTGAAGTTCTCACGGCGAAAATATTCCTTTCGGTCTGACCTCTGTGATGAGACAGACTTTGAGCTGGACAGCTGATATGACCCCTGACACCTTCACTTCACAGTGTCAAAACTAAGTCTAAGGGGCCAAATGTTTGGCAGCTGCTTTTTATATGTTTGTAAAACATTGTGATTTAATAGAACACTTATTGAAATACTTTTATTACACATATTTAATTATTGCACAAGAATTGCTGCATTGGTCTCAAATCTTGAGCTATTTATCTTTTTATAGAGAGAAATCACATATTGTTAGTTCGGTTCATCTGCACATTTGAAGACATTTTAGATCAAAAGAGGGCACATCCTTTTGTATAAAGTTATTGTGATTACTCGTCTATATTTAGACGTTGAAAACTTTTAGGAAGCATTTTTTGCTTCTCATAAATTAATATCAGCCGTCACTTATTAAAAAAGCTGGTGGTAGTTATTATTAGATTGTAATGCACATTGAGATGCAAGGATTCCATTTACTTCCCTAGCACAAAGAAGTAGTTTTGTAAATTTCCCCCTCTGGTGTAAAGCTACGTTACTAAAATTTTGAGTCTGCCGATTTTCATTTTTTCTTTTATTTTCCAATAAAACACAAATACCACACATGAGAACTTCCTGTATGTGTTTTTGATAGGAAGGTTGATTAATTATTCGGATGGCAGGCTTCTGAAAATCCCGGACCATCCCTCTGGAGCTGTGCTCATTTCCTGACACATGATTATTTACACTATTCATGGCTGATGTGATTGAGAAAAAAGATGACAAAGATAACTTTATTGCGTTCCATAGTGATCTGTTTTTATAAAAATTGTCCTCAGTACAACACCGCTTTCATCTCCACAGTAAATGATAACCTTCCTGTAACTAATAGATCATGCAGCAATTACGTCTCTGACAAGCCTTTAAATCGCAACAACTCCTGCGCAGAGTAAAAAAGGTGTTATGGCCTGTTTTGTGGCGAGACTGCTCATATTCACCGAGTCTTAACAGCTTAATTCTTGATGTTTTAAAGACCCGCTGTTCTCTTTCACACACAAACTGCGTAACAGTTTTGAAGGTAAGCATGCAGAGTATGCAGCACCTGAGCCAACAGAAACCTAACCTAGCAATTAGCACCGAACTCTAAATTCCTGTGGTATGGGGTAATCATTTGATTAACACAGAGAGGATTATAGATGGATGATGAATGTGTTTTCACAATGTGTCAGTTTGGGTCTAGTCTACACTTGTTTGCCTGCAGGACATTACCGTGTTTGTGTTTATACCTCCTTATAAACAACATGGTGACTTTACGTTTTACATGATGGAGTTAAACTGCAATATGCAATCCTTTGGAAAAAGCATGGTAGATGAAGTGCAGACACAAATGTAGTGGAAAATAAGTTAAGAAAAGTTACAAAAGAAAAAACAAAAACCTTCTTTTCCCCTAAAGGAGAAAACAATTGAAATCTGTGCTCTATATTGGATCACTTTGTTCTGTAAGTGAATATTCACATCTGGCTTCTATAGCCAGAAACAATACAAAACAGTTTCTTTAATCCTCAAATCTGTGATGTCATTCCAGTGTACTGTTCCATACAGATCTGGATGAGATGGGGAAAGGTGGCCTCAAATGTTGCATTGAGGTGCACCGCCGCCCTCAGGATGTCTGTTCTTAATTTGTGTTTACTTTCACCTTTAGTCTAACTGTGAACATTGTTAAATTCATTGCAGGTTCACAGCAGAGGACAGATGTGTGTAGAGAGAAACTCCAAAGCTTGAATTCATTCTCAAACATAACTCAGGGTGTTACAGACACAGAGTGTTGAAATACTAAGCTCCACTGTGATTATGCAGAAAGGCAAACTCTAACTTGCTAAGATTTACCAGCAACATTTTTTCTATGGTTGCACAGACGTAAAAATGCTGATTCTAGGAATCTCATATTTGAGAATCAGCTGTGAGGATGAAATTAGGTTTGAAGAAGATATCGTATTGGTGTTTATTTTAACACCACTTTTTGGTTTAGATAGTATTCAGATTTAACATGTAAGTAACTGAATCACAATGAATTCTGAAGGATGAATCTATGGTTCAGCTGATGGACGCCTTACATAACCCTAAACCTGAAGAACTTAGACCTTATCTAGTTCAGTGGTTGTCAGCAGACACGAAACAGATAAAATTGGTCAAATACCGTGTATCTTTATCCATACAGACCCTGCATATTGTAGGAAATCATGCTGGCATTTCAACCATTTCAGTCTTTGAAGAAATAATGTAAGAGATCATTTTTTTCCGATTGATTATTAAAGGTGCAGGTAGCGACAAAGTACGGTAATACACACTGACTGTCACGCAAGGTGGGAAGCACATGTCTGGCCAAACTTGCCTCCAGTCACTTCTAGCTGCCCCCAGTTTCAGCAGAAGCGGCAAATGGTCTGCGCTGGCATTCAAAACATCTGTGCAGTCAGACTACTGGTGGCAAGGCCCCAGAGACCTGCCTGCATGCACCAGCCTCTTTTGAACTGCAGATCCAAATACACTGCGCTTATTGGAATGGCATGTAACTGCAATTCTGAAGGGGGATCCTCCGCTACGCCTTTGATGTCCACCACTGTGTCCAAAGCAGGCAGGCCATTCTCAGTGCTCACTGTTTTCCATTTAGGCCGAGATTTTTCTATTCTGGAAAGGGATTTTTGAAGTGAGGCAGACAAAAGACAGATTTACATGGTTTGGACAGCTATGCTGTGACTGGAGCAAGACTGTAACTGAAGATTGCAATAAAGCTCTATACTGGCAACCACTTGTTAACAGGGAGCATAATGAATGTATGTTTCATTAGTGCAGCAGATGACTTGGAGCATTTATTTGGATATTTTTTAGAGTAATTCAGACATGTGATCAGCATTAATAGATATTTGTGAGATGACGTTTTATTCAATAGAAGTATTAACAACTGAATGAAATATGATGTTAATCAAATGTGTTGAATTGCTCCATCCTGCTCAACACTATCTGCTGCCACTGTCACTGACTGTCTGTGGGGTAAAACTGAGCTGCCACTCAGACCAAGTTTACTCAATGTGCTTCCTGGCACACATGGGCATCAGAGGGGCACATGGGAGTTTTATCTCACCCGAAGTAAATCCAGGATCTGAGTTCATCTGAGTGGTCAGAATAGTGCTTGAAACTTATGTTAGCCCGATGCTGTAAAATGAAATAAATGATGATCGTTTGAGGGTTTTATCTGGCTTGTATTAGATATATTCAACACACTGGTTGGTTGGTTGGTTGGTTGGTTGGTTGGTTGATAGTGCAACGAGGGGAAAATAATATCAGATGCAAAACGTATACATCTCACTTATTCGTTTCAAAGTTTATTTGGTTTGTAATGTAAATAGTCTAATCCGGGTGACGCTCTGGCTCTGCTGCTGCTTCACTGTCATGATCCTGCCAGAGCTGTGCGTTACGCGCCGTTTGGCATCAAGGATCATGCGTATGCGCACAACACAACCAAATGATCAGTGTGTTTATTCTGTGGATTTGAATGTGTCCTCAACATATCTTTTTAAAGAAACGATTCTGTGCGCTGACAAACAACCTATGACTCAAAGTAATAAGATCTTGTCAGCCGTCAGTAACATTATTGTTCCACTTGTGCCCAAACTGAATGTGTTGACTTCAAAGGTGACAAATGACATTAGAGGCACGGTCGGTCTTTTTTCGAGCCTCGGGGCTCCAGTGAACTCACCCATGCTGAAGCTGCAGCATCCCCGCTTGGTGCATAATTTGACACAGCGACCTGTCCTTTGAAGCGGACAATAAAAAGTCTCAGGAGGGCTAATCACATTACGCACCATTTGTCTTGCTTAAGTGAAGTGTCACAGCACCTTCCGTAGTAGTGTTTTACTCACAGTCTGAGACAAGAGTGCTGCTGTACACATGTCAGGAGGAAACGCAGACCTCCTGTAAAGAGCCTCCGGGTGTCTTCCTCTGCGCTGTGTGCCCAGTGCGCCTCCGGGGACCACCAAGGTTACTTGAGGTCGTGTCCTTATTGTGCCAATATAGTGGCATTTTTTCAATATTAATGCAGGATTACTTAATCAGCATTCATCAGTGGATTAATGTCTATTAAAATAAAGAAATTATGTTTTGTAATTTCTAAAGATCATATCATTTTGATCCTGTGACTTGAAATGACTTCAGTGTCTCATCTGCAATGGGAAGCAGAGCATAATAGTTTCGGGGTGTTCTTCACTCGAACTTCCTCAAGCATGTCTGGTGTTAGACCCGGTTGGACTCCAGTTTGGGGAGGACCGGTTGAGAGGGACGAAAGAGTTAACCAGGGGGAGGGCGCCTGCACAGGGGCGTATAGTATAAAACCACCTCAAGAGCGCACAACAACAACAGCGTGTGTGTGTTAGTAATCCGCAGATTGATATGGTTTGACTTTTATTTCCTCCAGGAGGACTTCTCACAGACGCACGCCAGCCCCGCGTCTTGCTCTCGGTGGGCTCACAGTCCACAGCAGAATGGATGGATACTGTTTTTAAGGCAGAACTCCCCCGTGAAGTCTTAACTGGGAAGATACGCTTTTAACTACCTGTACTTTTTTTTTCGCCTAAGGTAATCTCGTCGAACAGCGCGTTGGATGGTGCATAATGTGGACAAAACCAGATATGCGTAAAGCGGCTGAAGTGGAAGTGAGGAAAAGTGAAGTGTGAGGCTGAGAATGTGGCGGGGACACCACGGGGCAACTGGGCTGCAAGTTTCCTGAGCTTGGAGATTTGGCGAGGGCGCAACAAGAGCGGAAAGTGTTAATGCTGCGCGCTGGATGAGCCCTGCACTTCTCACTGCACTGGAGCAGCACATGAACTCATCTCATATTTGGCTTAGAGTCAAACTATATGATCAATCTGTTAAAGGTGATACATCTTAATTTAGAACAAACCCACAGTTTAAAAAGAAAATCCACTGGGTCCAAATTCAACTAGGCAACAGCACTTCTTTCAAATTATTCGACTTCCCTCCTCCGATCCTTTTCCCTTCATTTTTGCAATTTTGATTCCCGAAGTGGCTCCGAAGTGGTGTTGCGGCTCCTCGTCCCCGGCGGATCCGGAGATTGGAGTCTCTGCACCGGGAGGAGGCGGAGTCGGACCTCCGGCCACACCGCAGGCTCCCAAGAGCGGCCGCGTCAAAAGGATGGTGCGACTGGCGGCGGAACTGCTGCTGCTCCTGGGACTTCTACTCCTTACCTTGCACATCACAGTGCTGCGGAGCAGTCCGCTGCCCCAGGGGAATGTAACTCTGAGTCTGGACTCAGCACTTACAGAGGTGAGTTAGGAAACCTATTAGTGGTGAGGTGCTTTCCATGAGGGGGATTTTTTTGGGGGGAAATTTGATGCAAAAAGGTGAAGCCTACGTGAGGGGTCTCATTTGGTCACAGATGGGTTTGATAAAATGCTCATATGAGCCAATGGCCCAGGTAATATAAATCGCCCATTCCTGTGAGTCTCAAGAGATTGTTGACATACACACGGATGTGGTCTGCCCGGGGTGCCCCCCCACCCCCACCCCACCCCCCAGGGAGTGGCAGGGAGCCAGCAGAGGGACGGAAGATGAGGCAGGGTCAGAGATCAGCCCCCTACACCAGACACACCTCCCTATTGTTGAGGGTTAAATGCTAGCTGCAGGCACTTCTCTGTCATCATGGGCTCATCACTGTCATCCAAGTGTTCAGTTGATGGGGCTGAGGGTCAGAGCTGAACCTCTGTCGGTGCCCACCCCACCCCGCCCCGCCTCACCCCCACCACTATCACCAACACACATTCCCCAGAGCTGTGCTTGGAGAAGGTTCTGGCACATTACTGATTTCAGATCAAGCCTTTAAAACCCAACTTGTTTTATTTGAACCTGCACTCACATGTGCTCACATGTGTGGACAAGGCCACATGAAAAGATCAGATAGGCCTGGAGAAACGATAAATAGAAGAATATAAGTAAATATAATGACTTTTGGAAATCTTTTGACATTGTTGTAGTCTGGACAAAATGTAGTTTTTAATGACACCTTTGTGTTGGCCCAGTTTAGAAAAGTGCTGCAACAGAATTTCACAAGGGAGACATTTGTCAACATGACATCACTTAAGACAGGTTTAATAGTTTAACTGCCCATTTTAACATCAACATAAAGCACACAGACTCCAGCAGAGCCCCAAATTCTGACCCGAGGGTTAAGACGGGTCTGGGATCAACAGGCTTTTTTAGAGAGTGCTAAGCATCCTTCAGCTGCTTTTTGATGTATATTTAGCATGTTACTGAAATGCTGTCTTCATGTCCCAGTGATAAATGGGTATTTATGTCAACTCCCTTCATAAATGTTTTTATTGGGGCTTGGGGGGGGGTGAATGGAAAGAATTTTTACATTAACAGAGGATGGTGAGGGTAATTTCTCTTATCTCCATTCCAACTACCATCACTGTAGACTGACCTGCGCATATGCAACAGCAAGCCTGTGTTCGGTCGGATATTAGGGCATGCAAAGCTGAGGAAGTATTCCAGGAATTTATCGAATATTTGTCACACAGCCAAATGCTGGATCGGACAAGCAGGGTGAGGACCAGGAGGTAGTTTCTCCTGAGGAATCACAGTGAAAAATACTGAACGCATGCCACCCATTCCAGCCTCCACGCCGCTTTTGTCATAAGTTCACATTTACATAGAGATTCTGGCCTGCGATGAAAGAGCCCAACATTGCCACCCATGCCCCATGTTGAGGCAAGCGCTGAATGGTTTTTTTCTGCTCGTGAATGCTCTGACTATGTGCAGATATGCTTCACTGGTCCGCCACTGAAGACAGTGATGTCATCTTTCAGCCGGGCTTGTCACGGCCCAGGGGGTGTATTGTCATCCCAAGGTGTCATATTTAAAATGGCATTCACAGAAACACAAATGACAGGATGCGGCTCCATGCACCTGTAGCGGAGAGAGAAAACTCATTATCCTCACAGACCCAGGAAGGGAGATTCATCCACTGGACAAGAACATACAACTATTCAAAAAAAAAAAGTTGTGTGATTAATAATGTGCTGAATAATTAATTGTGGTTTTCTACTTTTTCCTTTTTTTTTTTTTCTTTTAGTCTTGTCTAAACAGTTCCCTTTTGAGCTCATACCTGCTTTTCTCAGCTGGATCATGTAAATAAACACATACGTACGCCCTGTATGAGAAGGGTGACAGGGGAAGGATAGTTTTCTCTTCCACCTACGTAAGTGTAGTGCTGAAAAGCATCTGGCACAATGTGCACTGCCTTCATTTCCTGCCAGCGTCCCTGGGGGAAGGACCCCTGAGTTGCTCCCAATTGAAAATGGAGTCATGCCCCTTTAAGCAGCCCTCACAAAGTGAAAAAGGGGGAAGCGGGAAAAGAAGAGGAGATACTGTGAGGAGGGAGAAGGGGGTGGCTTGTGTATGCAAGTGTTCATTCATGGCTTTTGAGAGTGGGGGGTGACATCCTGGGAGGCCCCAGATGAACTGAGGAATGGTGTGTCACTTTTGATCTCCAAATTAAAGCATTCTCCTCGTTGAGGAAGATCTCAGATGAGTGACTGTAAAGCAGCCGGCCATCAAAGAGGAACACTGCTGATTTTTCCTTTAACATTTAAATGAGTTGCTCCTATTGCACCGTTATAGTCTCAGCAGTATTAAAGAAAACTGAGAAAACTGCATGTTTTTCTTATTACGTTGTGTTAAAAAGCTCCACTGAGAGTCATTTGGAAAAGACAGAGCGCGGTGTTTATGTCGACATTAGGAACGGACAGATTTTACACAACTGATACACAACTGCCATTCCTTCCTGATGAGTAATTCCTATGTTCCCTGTGCATTCTTTCCATTATCCTCAACTCAACTGACTGTCTTCAATCACTCTGCTGAAATACTGATTGAGATTGAAACTGTGGACGTATAAAATTTCGTGGTTTGTCCTTCACACTGCTAAGCTCCCAGATGGAAAATATAGATTTAGTGAAATCTCAGTGCTTATGGGGAAAAAGCAGCTTAGATTTCCCTCTTTGTGTCCAGTTGGTGGTTTTCAGCAGCACTATCTCAAGGCTTTAATCAACAGCGTGTTATTTAAGGCTGATATTTTTCTGTGTATTGGCAAGATTTTGATGTGTTTCCTACAGGGAGAAAATCAGCATCAGCGTCCTGTTGGCACCAGAGAAAGCGAGACAATAAACTGAATGTCAGTTCTCTGTACACATTCTTGTGTCATCTATTGTCTAAGCTTCGGCTGTTTGGTGGCTGAAAATTAAATTTGTTGATTTGACATAACAAATTGATGTAGAGACAAGTAAAATTATTGTTCTCTCTGAGGTGGATGATGCTGGTTTATAGATTAGAGAAATAGCTTCTAATTACAGTTTAAATTCAGAATCAGCTGGGTAGTTCTAGGTGAGGAAAGTAAATGAAAGTTTCCAACTCACCTAAATGTAGCTACACTTGGCAGCTTGCAATATGGCTCGTTACTAAGTGACAACTGATGATTGCATTGCCTTTTTCAGTTTTTTTTTAAGACATCATAAATGTCATTAGACATTACCTGAGCTGATCATGGATCAGTTTGTAACCTGTGTAGCTTTTTACAGCTGACAGCCCAAAGCAAATTGTCCACATTGATAAAACCTGTTGTCAGCATAACACAATCCCTCGATATCAGAGTTTAACATGAAACTCACTGCAGATACGTTTTAGGTGGTGACAGTGGACAGTGCTTAATTCGTGTTTTTAGTTCCTAAGCAGTTTGATATCATATTGTTATCACTGGTTTTGTTCAAACTTGCAACACTTCTGCAATAGTCAGTGTATATTTTTGTTTATAAACTGCATTCCTATCCTTCTATCTGCTGGATAATCTACACCCTTAACATAAATCAAATCCCCAGATTCCTGCATTTGCCCATAAACTGACAAATTCGCTGCATTTACAACCGGGCTTCAGCTCCCCATGCTGAATGAAACACCATCACAAGTGCTGCTCTGGGATTAATCGGAATACTTTGAAGTTTGACTTTAAATAAACCAAATTTATGTCAGGATTAGATTATCTGCCTGCCATGTGTAATACAGCATAATATGACACAACAGAAGATTCAGATAGGATTAGACTGGATAACGGAGGATTAATCTGCTTGCAAACACTGTGACTGGGTTTCATGACCCAACAGTTCGCGTGTTCTGAAACATTTGTGTTGGCATCTGCTTTCTCTTATTAGACCAACTCATGGAGAAAGTTGTAAAGTCATTACTCAATAACTCAGTTATTATTTGTATTTATTTTTTAATCAGTAGCCTGAGCATCTCTGGAGGAATTTCCTTGAATGACAGGTGTTGTAGATGAAAAAAACGTCACTGCCTTTCGACGGCAAAACAAGAGAAATTGTTAGTTACATGTTTTCCGGCAGTGGATTTAAATGACTATCTGAGGTATCAATATCATAAAACAGTAATGTCTGGACTGAAGATCAACTTGTGTGGTCTGAGGTTAAATATAATCCACCCAGATGAGATCAACCACACCATACTTTAATTACAAATATATGTACCCTATGTATTTACATTGCGACTGAACCTGTAAGTGTTGTGTTGGGGCTGCTCCCTCAGTGGAGCTCAGTTACAGCCACTGAGTGACTTCTGAAGGCTGGGAACTTGAAAGGCAGGGTTATCACATGGTCATCTCAAAGCCCAAGTACTTGCGATAGAACCAAAGAGGGTCCTGTGATGTTCACATAAAGGGTCGATAGCTGATGCACAATCTATGCTGCTGAAATGATCTCTCTGTGTACTGAGCTCGCAGCCATAATTGTTCAGTTTGTGGTTTTAATTGGAATCTGTTTTTTTTCTCCCTCAAATTTTATGATTTTTTAACATGAATTCTCAAAAAAACTCATCATATCTACAGTAACCTCTCCTCTTGCAGACCAGTCTCCTCTTCTTCCTCAAAATTATGGGCAATTGTATAATCATTGTAATTATGGAAGTTGCTCACATTAAAAAATTTGATGTGAAAGCTTTTACATTCTTTGAAATGCGTCATATTATCACACTAACTCCATTTGGTCTCTGCAGTAGTAAGGAGTAACCCTAACTGGACAGGGAAGTCTTTCTGTGCAGCCAGCCACTGTCCCCTCTGTGGTTGAATTCAAGTTACATGTACATTTATAATCCTTCCTCCCGTGCTGTGCAGCTCCATTTACAGCGCCTATATTGTCCCAGAGTGCACCTTGGCTGGACACAAACAGCTCCACTGGGGGCTTTTATTCCCACCACAATGTGGCTGAGCTGACACTTTGTCTGTGACTGGCCACCGCAACTGTATAGCACTGCTGCCATATTCTCAGGCCTCAGCCCAACCACAAAAACACTAGGGAGGAAGAAAGGGGACATGAAAAAAGAAAACAAGGAACATGATTGATGGCTTTCTTTGATCTTATTTTCTGCCAACCCAGAATGGATGATTGCTGACTACTTTTGGCTATCTGTCCAGTTGAGGAGTAATTGTTCCTTCTGTGCGTACCTGACAGGGGACATATGCCCCAACTGTCCTTTTGGGACAAATTTACAACCCCCCATGTCAGAAGACCAAATGTTTTTTCTGTCTACAAGAGGACAGATGTAATTATTTTGCACTGTTTGCTTAGGTTTCTCTATATAACCTCAGTGCAGGAAAACCATCAGTCTCACATACTGTAGCTCTTTTCTCCCAGCCAGTAACAGAACATACTATATATGCCCACATCATATTGCTATGGTAAATCAGCAGCATACTGCGAGGCTGTTAAAAATGGAAACATATACAGTCTTACTGTGAGACTGGCTCTGGATGCATGCTGTAGTCGTGTTATATTTTGGTGGAAGCAGACAGACGCCCAGAACTCAGGGTGATGTTTGCCTCAATGTGTCAGTGGCTCCTTCTTTCTGGGCTCCGAGTAGTCGAGAGTCCAGTGTCTGCAGGATTCATGACAGGGGTCACAGCCACATCAACCTCTGTCAACATGCGTGATCAATCTGTTGATGTTGCTGGATGTGCCAACTCTGTAGAAGTGACATACAGGGCCATTAGTCTTTATATTAACACAGAATATTTTTATTTGGTTTTCATTTTATATCCGTTCTAATCTTCTATCATGAATGCACACACCAATAATAGATTAATATTATGTTCCTGTCTCTCCTCAGCAGAACAACATAAATGCAAAAAGCAGCTCCTCTGTCCAGCTGGCTCCTGAAGACCGGAGGTCTGGTCCAGAACACCGGCTGGCCCTGCCCTGGGCGAAAGGCAGCAACGTACACAGGGACGGTCCCGGCACTTTCCTGCTAGATCTGCACAATTTCCCCGACCTCTCCAAAGCCGATATCAATGGACAGAATCCCAACATACAGGTGATGATGTGTGTCTGTGCACCTGCCAGTGCGCTTTGATGCTTTCACTCACTTGTAAGACATGGCTACTCAAGCACATAGGACAGGAAGAGCAAACAGGAAGAAGGAGAATAGTTTGGTGCACATCACTACCCCCTTTTTCTCCCCCTGCTGCCTTTCACACTTCCTGGCTCATAGTGAAGCTTTAGATAGATACTGAGGTCTCACGTCCATCATAATGACAGCTAAAAGGCAGACACTAACCAGCAGTGCCTCACTACTAACCCATATGCAGGAAGACAGACGGCAGCTTATGTAAATGTGTGGCAAACCCTTGCCCATAAGTCCCTCAGTGGTGCAGATGGCCGAGTAACCGCTGCCATGTTTAAATCATTCTCCTGTCTAATCCAGCGAGGGGGTCTTTCCATTTCTGAGAGCATCACTGCTAAATCCGAGCACGAACAAAGTGTATTAACATCTCAAGATGTGGGAAGAGAGCAGAGCAACCAATTGAGCAAGGGCGTGAGGCTGTGGGAGAAGGGGAGGAAGGGGGGGGGGTGTCTTTGATCCTGGGATTCATCTGGCTTTCATGGTCTGGAGGAGGCTGAGTAGCCCTTTGAACTTTGTGTTTAGGTGGAGAGGGCCCGAGAGGTGGGAGGGTGGCTGTGGGGCAGGGGTGGTGGTCTCCCCTCATCTGGGAGGCACATGTGTTAGGACAGAAAGGGGGAGGGGGTAATATTGTGTGAAGGGGTATCAGAAAGTGTCACCTCACAGCACCCGATTGATCGACTCTGTCCTAAAATGTAATTGAAGCATCTCCTGTGATGAGTCTGTATTGAATATCGACTTTAAATTGACTTGTGTTCTTTCATACAGGTGACCATAGAAGTGGTGGATGGACTGGAGGGCCATGAGCCGGAGAAAGGCCTCCGCAAGGAAAGCAAACCCAACTGGGCTTCTCCTAACTGGAGAAACTGGTGGCCTCATACTTCTTCATCCTCCTCCTCCTCCTCCTCCTCCTCCACCACTCATCAAACGGAGGAGCACGATCGCTCCTATGGGACCAACAGTGAAGACAGCAACTTCCTCAGGCCGCCGCCAGACTGGGACAGGAGAGGAGGCACTGGGGGAGGGAGCAAAGCTCAAACTGAATATGGTGAGAGTGACAGGAGGGTGGTGTTTGCAAGGAAACGAGTGCACGATGCATACTGTAGAATATTTAGCAGGATCCATAGGCTCTTATTTGAGCACTAGTCCATCGTTTCCACAGATGCTCATAGTCTGATGTGGAATCTGTAATTTGCAGATTTGCTGATTTAAGCTGTCACCATAATAAGTGCAGTCATCCCAGGCGAGCCTTTGGGAGCCCCTGATTGAAGCCTTTAACACTCTTTTATGAGATGGATTCCTCTGCGGTGTGGAGCTAGCTACGTGACACAGTTTAAACGCCTCGCGACATCAAAGTTCAGCAGCAGGAATGGGGCCAGGAGCAATGTTCGGCTGCCACACCATTCTCACAACACTCTCCAAAAGTATCCCCGCAGATAAATCTGCCGTGGAAGAATTTACACTCGCTGTCATACAGTGTGCGTCGGGCCCGTGTTGTAGCATGCCCAAACCAACATGGTCGAACAGGAATGCGTGTGCTGTGGAAAATGTCATTTCATCCACTTGCACTTGCACTGCAGTGGTTAGGAAGGCGATTTTATAATCTTTTTTTTTGTCAAACCATAGCCTGTGTTAAATGTTCGGGGCTTATCGCTGCGGTCAGCTCTCACTCATACCACACTAATAGACAAGGAAATATTTTATCATCATTACTGTCCTGGTTTTAGACCTAATAATCATAATTGTGGACAAGCGGTGAGGGTCATCCATCACAATCCCTTCATAATGTATTCACTTGTGGGCTGAGGGCAGGTTATTATCAAGTTTTCTAAATTCTGAGTTTTGTCTGAGTGGCCACCAGCTCTCTGTAATAAGCTATGGAAGGGGGACAGGAGCAGTGTTAGACAGCTATCTGGCCTTTATTCATATAAAATGCTCATAATGAGGGGCAGATGGCAGCAGGGGGAATTACTTCCATCCCAACATGCCCACATTAATTCTCCTCATTGATGGAGTACTGCTTTCAAGATGTGTGTGTGTGTGTGTGTGTGCAGTATTGATGGCGGTGGTGGGCTGAGGTGGTCGTAGAGCCTGGTGTAACTGTTTCCATGTATACCCATTACAGCGATCTGCTCAAAGATAATTGGAGTTAAAGAGGATTTCTCGCCATTTCACTTCCCATTTTCAAACCAATGAATCACAGATAGAGCAGCCGAATGGTGTCCTGTGCCACTGAGCCACTGATACTCAGGCGGCACAGAAAATTTATATTTGTAAATTGCCTGCTGGATTCCGTGGGGCTTTGTTGGAATTTGCAAAATGCTGCCATGTTACTTCACTTTCTGAACACAGTGAACAGAGTGAGCATGTTAACATTAACAACATAGTGTATGCATGTGTGTGTGTGTGTGTGTGTGTGTACGCAGGCTTGCGACGTATATGCTTTTGTCAAAGACAACTTTGAGTTCCCCTACTTCCCCTTTCATGTCCTCCCCCCACTTATTATTAGTGAGGCATGCTAACAGGCCTGAGTAGGTTCAGCATGTGGCCTGCATCAGAGCTGAGGATCTCTCTCACTCTTTCTCTCTGATCCAGACTATATGGATGGAGAGGGGGACTGGAGTAACTGGTCAGCGTGCAGTGTGACCTGTGGAAATGGCAACCAGAAGAGGACCAGGTCTTGCGGTTACGCCTGCACAGCCACGGAATCCAGGACCTGTGATATGCCCAACTGTCCAGGTAAAGTCTTGACTTTGGATCACAGAACAAAAAATAGAAAATCTTTTGATCCACCTTACACTGTTAATCCATCTCTCTAAAGGTATTGAGGATGCCTTCAAGACTGCAGCGACTGAAGTCAGCCTGTTAGCTGGAACAGATGAGTTCAATGCCACAGAGCTCTTTGGTGTTGGTAAGATTCTGCCTGCTCTTGTCTTACTGCAGACTATCCCTCATTCAGATGTTCTTACATTATCAAAGGCAGTTCATCCATCTGGCAGCAGAGTTCCTGCACACACTTAGCATTCCTCATGCTCGGGCTGCGGCCCATTACTGTGCAGAGATGAAAATGTGCAGCAGGGCAGGAAGAGCACAGTATGCCACTGCCCACTCTGTCTTCATCTGTCTGTTCTTAATCAGCCCAGTGAAAACACACCTTCATGTTAAACATTACACCCTCACACACTTCTGGTTTCATATTCTAGTGCTGGTGTGTGTCAGGGAAGAGATGTAGCACTAAATAGTGTCTCCATTCCTTCCAGACACAGACAGCTGCGAGCGATGGATGAACTGCAAAAGCGACTTCTTGAAGAAGTACATGACCAAGGTGGCAAACGACCTTCCCAGCTGCCCTTGCTCTTACCCAACTGAGGTGGCGTACAGCACGGCAGACGTACACGACGCTCCCACGCGCCGAGATTTCCGTTGGAAAGACGCCAGCGGGCCAAAAGAGAAGCTGGAGATCTACAAGCCCACAGCCCGTTACTGCATCCGCTCCATGCTGACGCTGGAGTCCACCACGCTGGCCGCACAGCACTGCTGCTACGACGACAACATGAAGCTCATCACTCGCGGCAAAGGGGCCGGCACGCCCAACCTCATCAGCACAGAGTTCTCAGCCGACCTGCACTATAAGGTGGACATCCTGCCCTGGATCATCTGCAAAGGGGACTGGAGCCGCTACAACCAGGCCAGGCCGCCAAACAACGGGCAGAAATGTCCTGACAACCCCCAGGACGAGGACTACTACAAACAGTTTGAAGAAGCAAGGGAATTCTAGCCCTGTATAGAGTGAAAGGAGAAAAAAAACACACACTGCTTAAATATTCAGCTAAACCTCAAAAATGGTGCTGAACCATTTTTCATTCTGTTTTAGGTCAAATAACAAATGAACTTTTAGGCTCTGAGGAACAAGACTTACTGCTCCAAGAGGAATGAAAATCCAACAGAGTCTGAACCCTCACTTGGTCAACGAACATTTCTTGACTTAAACAAAAACAGGCACAAAATGTTGCTTTGTTTTTAATTTTTTTTTTTTTTTTTTAATAAAACATGCCTCTGAAATTGCGCCAGTAATTATAACTCTGGCAGATTTGGTCACTAAAGGGAGAACTGACTTTGTATTGTTAAAAGGGAAAATTGTTATTCTAGGAATGTCCATTTAGATTGTGTCCGTGTTCGTCTCCCTAGATTGTTTTGGTTTGTTTTGTGAATCTGAGAGGCCTGTGATAATACAATAATGAGATCCTTCAGGAATGTGTTGGGGTGGGGGTGGGGGTGGGGGCTTTGGGACAGAGGACAGGATATAAAACTTATCCCACCCCCCCACCCCTGTTTTGTCAATTGCAATATCCAGGTTCTCATGTAAGCTTGTGAGTATGTTTATTCAGCATGCACATTTTAAAAATTTCTACCAGTAATTTACCACCGTGTCCATTGTGTCTCTGAGGCAGATCTCCATTGTAAAAAGCCTGCATTATTTTTGTAAAGTATTTATTAAGCTGTAGCTGCGTCTGAGTTGGGTGTCTATGACTGTGGTTTCTGATTCACAGACTGTATGGCTGAATGCTAACTTGAGATCCCTCCCCAGCTCAAACTCTACCATCCCTGTCTCAAGTTAGGATTAAACCGTAATAGACCGTAAAGAATGTGTGAATTCAAATGTATGGAAAGATTTTTGAAATATAAATCTATAAATAAATTTTTAAAAATGCCATTGAATGTGTTGCTATAAAAAAAATTTAAAAAAAATCTTTGCATGCATGATCTTCAAAATAAAATTTCATGCAAAGTTTCATCAGGGGCTATTAGATTTCCCTCCTGCTGTCAGAGGAAATTCATCAGCAGTTAAAAAAAAAACAAAAAACGCAGCTCATCAATTAAACTCCTCCACCAGGATTAAGCCAGTGCACAAGACTTCCATTAGTTCCATCCAGTGTGGCTCTCCGGCCAAGCCTTTTGATGGGATTGTGATATTTCTTCAGAGGGCGAGGAGGGTAAGATTCCCTTGAATGCGACTCAAATTATTTGTCTTTGGCATGTATCCTCGCATTCCTGAGTAATTTCTCAGTGTACACACGCACTCACACACTCACACACACACTCAAAGCTGCCTGTCCATTGCAGGGACCTCTGACCATTCCCTCTCTGCTGAGTGCTGCAGTCATTGTCACACAGAGAAAGCCATTCATGGTGCCCTCATTCCTGCAGTCTTGTGTGCGGCACAGCTGCCTGGGTGCAGGGCTTGTCTTTATAATGAAGCAGGCCCCAGCACGTTCCACACCCCTGAGGCGCTACTCGCAACCGCCTAGTTGCTTCACTAGTCATACAAAATTCCTCCACACGTCCTTCGAACCCATCCCCCCCCCACCCCAAAAAAGCCTTTTATCAACAACCCACCCTCAAAGCTCACTGTAAATCACTGATATTCTTTTAAACTGCAGATATATGTCTCCCTCAGCATTATCAGACCCACAGTGTGTAAAAGCTGTTTTTAAGTCTTCTGTCCATCTCTCCAGTAAAAGCATGGTTCAGGGCTAAGATTACAGTAACTGGTATGGATCGTTATCGTAGTAGACCGTCTGCTGAACAGGCCATGAAGATCAAAGCAAGGTGTTCTTCTTTATTCTGAAACATTAAGGCCGAGCTCAAATTGATGACACCCCTGCCCCCAACTCCCCTCTCCGAGCCCGGTATCTCTTCTCCAGACAGGCTCCACGTGTCTCGAGAGCACGCAATTACTCATATACCCTCCTCACTTTTCATATCTCATCTCTTCTCCCCTCCCCTAGAAACACTAGCACAGCCTGCAATGTGATTCCTGTGCCAGGGTGCAGGTAGGAATACAGACACACGATTTAGAGGCTGTATGTAATTGGTGTTAAATGCACGAGACTGCAGACATACTGTAGACCAGCGAGTACAGAGAGTACCGGGAAAACTTGTTGCGTTGGCTGTGGGACGTCTATGAGGCCTCGCTTTTGTGTTACTATTTCCAGGACCCTACTTTGGTATGTTTCAAAGGATGCAAAGCACCATATTAGTGGTATATTGTCAAGGATCCGAAAGGGCTCATTAAGCATCACCAAGATATGATTGTTGGTATTTTGCCTCTATTTTTGTTATGAGAAGGAAATTATGTCCAACGTACTTACACTGTTTTAGACCAAGTTTGACAGCGCTGGCTCTGGGATTTCTCAGTAGATCTCCACACAAGCGCTAACTGTGGGAATATGAAAACAAGAGGAGTTAAAAAGGAGAATAAAGCAGTGGAAACTTGGATGAGTTAATGTTGTAATAAATGAAGCGAAAGCTCAGCTGTTCCCCACCTCTTTTCTCTACAAATATTTCACATTAAAACGAGTCCAGGTGGTTTGTTGTCCATGCTGGAGCTCACTGTGAGGATCTTTGTGAGTGAATAACCAGGGTGCATGGTGGCAATCAGGCATGTCTTTGTTTTGTGGCGTGGTGCAGATGTGGCAGAACCGTTTTTAGCCTCACTCCCTCACTTTCTTTCTCTCACTCCCTCTACTCCCGCTACTTTATGGGTGGTGTAGCACAATGCAGGAAGTGTCTGGGCCGCAATACCACAGGGCCCAAACTGCACGGCAAACCTAATTAAAAGGTTTTTCTTTGGTCTTCTAATCTGGAATAGCTGACCTGGAGCAGGAGACTGCTTATCTAGCCGTACTGTCCCTCCCTCTCAACCTTCACCCCCAGTGTCCTACCAGCAAAAACAGGGGCAGGGCCGCTGGCATTCTGCTTACCTTTGGCTCACATCTTTGGCACAGCAAGTCAGGGGAGGAGGAGGAGGAGGTGGTGGGGGCAAACATGTGCCTGAGTGTGCAGCTGAACAAACAGGTCAAGTAGCTGTGGAGCATCTGAGAGGGCAGACTGCCTTACTTAACCCCTGCTGCCAGGACATGGCTGAGGTGCTGCAGGGATCTGTAGCCACACCATCTATGGCAGAACAGTGACAAAGAACATAACTAAAGGCTCCAATTCACTTGGATGTATAGCATCACCGTTCAATCGTCTTGTTAGATGGCCCTCATGGCCTTGAGAGGTACCTGTCCCTGGCTCATGTCGTCTATGTCAGTTCAAACAAAAGCTAAAATAACACGCACCCGCTCATAAATTCACACACTCAGAGCTGTCGCATTAATGAGGACAGCAGAGGAAAAGGGATCTGCTTTGCCCCCTCGTAAAAGAGTTATTATATTCAGTCATGCTTTTCATTGAGCTAAACTTATGACTAATGTACCACCAGATTTTATACGCTCTGCTAGCATCATGTGTTAATAGAAGTGAGTGGAAATCAGTTTGACTCAAATGCAAATGGACTTTTAAAGAGGCAGACATTATTTCAAATCCAACGGATCATTACATAGAAAAATAACATCCGTTTTCAGTCACCAAACACATACACATGATCATTGATTTCATTGTAAGAGACAAAGCAAACACAGCCACGGTGAAATCCTGCACCGTGTCCTGAGACTATGATACCACTGAAATGCTCCACTGTTTGGCTCCGAACACACTAAGAGCAGATCCTGATGTGGATAAAGGTGAGTGAAGTCTGGCTCCTCTGTTTCCTCAGGGAAGGCTCTTGCTTCGTCTGACAAAGGCAGCTCCATACATTGTCTGGTTTTAACCCATGAGTAAGAACTGATGTCAGACAGCGGCACAGAGGGCTGTAACGGTGTCGAAGGGTTGGGGGGGGGGGTTTTGGGGGGGGGGGAGGGGGGGGGGGGGTGTCAGCATGAGCATGGAAGCTGCATGGCCGTGATTCACTGTGACAGCACCGCTTGGCATGTGAGGACAGCAGGCCAGGCAGGCAAGGCTGCTGCCTTTGATCTTTATTTGCTTCACCGTCTGTTTTGCATTTAAGAGCCTTGCTGAGCGCGAGGCATTGGATACACCTTGAATGGCTCAGGACCCCGTCCACTTTTTTAAAGACCCAGGATCCTTTTTCAAAGCAAAGGGGATCCAGGACAGAGAGGGATGATGTTTGAAGGGGAAGGTCCTGTGCTGAATAGGGCAGCGAGGGTCTCCCAGCAACACAGATTAGCTCTGAGAAAAAAAAAAAGAAAAAAAGAGCGCTCTGTAATAACACATAATCAAGCTAATGGAGAAGGGTGTGAGTGTGGGTGAGGGGCAAGGTAACCTACGTCTCCTTTTAGATGGACCCTCAAGATCAAACCAGGGGTCATGGGGCTGTGGAACAAAAACAAACACGCACAGCACCTCCCCAACCAACCTTCTGCTGCTCCTCCTGACCTGTCAGATTCATTTTGCGCGTTAGTGATATCGAGAGACTGTGACATCTTACACCTGAGAAGCAAACCGGCTGGATATCTTCAATACTACACACTACTACCACACAAGCGAACATGATACGCTGACAGGGAGGCATCCCTCTCTTCAAACAGTGAATATATTTATCTTCTTGAACATCTCTATTGCATGTTCCTCCCAGACACTACCATGGCCGTGATCCAGAGCCAGCAGCTGGGCAAACTCTTGCCCTTGAGACTGAAACAATTGATATAAATAACTGCCCGCTCTAATCAGAGCCTTTAAAAGTATATTTATGTGGAATCAAATCAAGACAAGAAGAAAACACTGGAGAATAGAAAATTTTGAAGATGAAATGTCAAAAAACAATAGCTCAGAAAAAGAGCATCTTTTGTGTGTGTGTGTGTGCGTGTGTGTGTGTGTGGGTGATGCAGAGACGCACAGCAGGCATGCTCCTCAACAAACACATACTTCATTCATTTCCCCACTCATATTGAAATGTTTTAGCATGATCACAAGTCCTCCTGCAGAATTCTTTCTCCACTCCAGTTACTGTCCAGCATGTAATTTATTTCCAGACTATACATTTTTGGCAGTCCACAGCTCAGATGAGGATATTTATGCTGCCTGTCATGGTTTACACAAACTGCTCTCCAAATAGCAATGTATGTCTTTTTTGGAAAAGGTACAGATGGAAGAATATGTCTCATGTGATGGAGTCGAAAAGACTAAAGATAAATGCAGAAATGTAGCAACATAGATTTTATTTACTTTCTGAGCACTGTAGACGGATGTGCACATATTTACCATTTTCATAGCTTATACCATTTTATATTAGTTGCATTTTCAAGTAAAGTAATATTTGTGGAGACTCTTAGTAGTAACTGAGTGAAACAGCAAAACCAGAGAAACTGATTATCCCAACAGAAGTATCAATTCAGGCCATTTCTCCTTTCAAGTACAATTCTCAACAGCACCATTTCATGGGCTTGATGCATAAATTAGTTCTTAGCTGTCTGTTTTTTTAGCAAGAAAATACATGTCTCTGTCAGTGTGACGATACAAATATAGATTGTTATCTTTAAATGATGACTAACAGTCATGTTTGGCGGTGGGGTCAGATGCTGCTACCTGAGCACTATATATATATACACACACACATATATATATATATATATATATGCCTGTCAAAGAACAGAAAGTGGCTTACTGTAGATTTTGTACATGCAATATCTATGCATTCACATTTAAAAACAATCAAAGAAAAGCATTCTATGGCTGAAATGGTTATAAAATTCATCATGAGATTCTAAGATGCACATTATGCTACATTATACAGTATGCTGTAGGATTAATAACAATAGGCCTGCAGGAGTACATGAATTCATAACAATTATGTTGAGTAGCAGGCATTCCACAAGGTGCAATCTGACATCTTTTTAAACATGAAAAGTATTTTAAGAACAAAATAAGGTCTTGCATTTGAAATTGCTAAAAGTTTGAAAATAGTCACATCTGTTCAGCAATACAAAATGAAATGAACATCCACCCTGTTTTCCTAAATCATAGCTTATATACAAAAGAGAGGATGCCACTTTTAGTTTGAAAAGAGTAACAAAGAAAAAAATGGTGCATCAAGTCTAGTCCAGGTGACACTGGAGAGCCTGGGGGGTAAATTGGCATAGAGTACATGCTGGAGGCAGACAGTGGCAAAGGGAAGTCCTGTAAGTGCACTAAGTAGAAGCTAACACCCTTCCGTCCTTCCTGGACACCTGTTAAAACAGCTCAAGCTCATTACTTCTGGCATCAAAAGGTGGTGGGCCGATGAGGGTGGTGTATGTGTGTGTTTGCGAGTGGGTGGAAGGGTATGTATTGGAGTATTGCTGAAGAAGCCCAGAAGAAGGGTGAATGTGGCTCACTCCACTATGCTCATCAGTCGACACACTCCTCCCTCGATGGCCAAAGACTGTCCAGGAACAGTTCCGGGTGGTAATCTGGATATGTGTGTCTGAAGGCAATAAAAGAACACACACAGGACACGTACACAATGAGAAAAGCATCCAAGGACAGATACACATACAGAGGCAGGGCTACATGAGAAAAAGGAAAAATTACCAGGGTGTTGATCTCTTTTTTCTGATTTTCACATCATATGTAGAGTACATGTAGGAAAATGAAGGCATGGATAATGAGTATGATTTTTATTATTATTAATCATAAAAGCAAAAAATAGCAAATTGTATAAAAGTGCAGCAATGGTGCAGATGTTACCAAAGAAAAGATAAATATGAGCCAGTAAATAAAAGCCAATAAATCCATTAAATATAAGTTTCATCACATGCACTTCACAGCAACTATGAGACTGGATTTTTGAACTCTGAATAACTATTCAGGGACAAGAACAATTCATTTCTGCATTGGGAATCTAACACTACTATGTTATGCATAGATAAATGTAAAGGAAGGGATGTATACCAATCACATTTCAAACTGTTTTTTTTTTTTGTTTTTTTTTTACAGTATTTAAAATCTACATTCCTTGAGCTAACTTCCCCACAAAAGAAATTCAACAGTACAACTACAAAGTCAACCATTAAATTTTGGTCCAACATGTTCTGGAACCAAGTACACTTGTGATCTAACTTGTCCAAACGTGGCATTATGCTCAGTCCATGGCTAGTACAGGAAGTCTAGTAACAAGCTAGTGATCAGGTTCTGATCAGGCTGGCTGTTCCTCCCAATAAGCAGAGCTATGGAGTCATATCTCCAGGAAACTCCCAACTGGGAGACTTTTGTGTCTGACACCACACAGCTCACAGGGGCTTATGGAGCCACCTAAACCCCACAACCACAATGAACATTTTAACTGCTTGCTTGGTAGATATATTTTTCAGAAAGGATGAATCTCAGTTAAAACTATTCAAATCTAATTTCAATAATATCATGGATGAGGGTGATAGATACAATGCAACCAGAGAACATGCATAGATAGGACTACTGCTGTTGCATCGTCAGAGTATACAAGTATGAAGATGCCAAGTGAGTATTTATAGAGAGAGGGAGAGAGAGTAAGTGGAGAAAGAGAGCACACTGCTTATGTGTTGTGTTTGACCAGAGATAGAGAGGAGTAGTAAGAGGAGGAGGGAAGGGGCAAACACAGCTGTGAAGACGGGAGTGATACTTCCACTGGGAGATCAAAGGTGACTGACTCTCCCTGTGCCAATAATGGCTGTCATCCTCCTTCCTCTCTCTCCACAGAGGCCAGCACTGGCTCCAGCCTTGGGGAAAGAGTCCATCCACTTATCGACTAGACCACTGAACTGGCCTGACATCACTCTTTTACTTGCAGGAGACTTCATCTCCACTGGACTTATTTTTGTGTAGGCCTGAACTATGGCCCCTGGCACCCCAAGGGCAACTGCTGTCACTACAGTGGGACAACAGCCAGACAAGGGCGTGCACACATGGCAGCACTCTCAGGGGCTATTATGCCTGCAGTACTGGTTCCAGTGTTCATCTTCTCGCCTTCATCTTCTACAGATGAGGTTAAAGAAAGGCCTTGTTTAAACTGTTTTGAATGGAGGTCCATAGCTGAGTCATAATCGACTAATGGTGACATGCTAAATGTTTTCCTTCTGATGTCTGGGGAAAAGAACTTTGCAATGTTCTTTTAAATTCCTACTGCATTGAATACACAGCTGAAAATACAATAGGCAAAATTAGTGGTTAGCTGTATGACTTCATATATTTTGTAAGAAAACTGTTTCTGACAGTGACACCAATGCACCCTGAACCTCTAAGACCTTAATTTTTGTTTCAATCTTGACAGAATGGACAATGTGAATGAACAGGTGGGAAGAGTTAAGGGCTTACTAAACCAAACGAGTGAGTAAACACGCCGCCGCAGCGCTAACAGCATCGCGTGCCTCTCACATGCCGTGGTGCTGGTTCATAAGGCACAGAGCAGTGAGGATGAGCAGCCTCAGAAGTCACACAACAGATGTCCTAACACTTCTGTGACACCACACAGTCTGGTCAGCATCAGACAAATAACTCCACAGCCTCACATGTAAACACTAAATAACAAATTATCCATACAATTTTTATGTCTATGGTGCCAACCTTTACTGTCGCTCTGAGTTCATGCTTAGATTATTAGTCTGCAGCTGTTTTGGATTGAATGAAGAAAAATCTTTTGATGATTCTGCTCAATGTGATCAACAATTCAATACAGTTCAGTGCCAAAGTACTTAGACTGAAACTTTGTTGTGGTCTCTGTGCTCATCCCAATAAGTAGGCACTGACATAAAAGGCAGCTTTTTGGTTATTTCAGTGGGTAATGGTGTCCAAAGAGTTATTAGCACCCCAATCACAAACATTAAGGATTTTAAGATTGTCTGTTGGGGGCTGCATCTCCTTTACAATGTACCATATCATATCCTGTGTTATCATTTTCTTGCTTAATGAATCCTTGTTGTGGAATCCATGTTTACAGAAGCAATGTAAAATAATTATAACTTCAGCGAGGTAGAAAGAGGAGGAAAGAAATGTAGAATTAAATGATAGTTGGGCTAGATCGACAGAAATAACAAAAAAAGAAGTCACGAAAATCTACAGTGAGGCCGTGACCACATGACAGGACTACAGCTGAGTCAAAACATATCGTGAAAAACACAGTTCCATTGTATCTTTCAAAGAAAAACAACATTCTTTGGTGATATGAATGTGTTTAGGAGCTGGAGAAGCCACACATTAACACCACAGTGTAGGCCAACGGACAATTTTAGCTCTATGACTATGCTGCCGTTTTTGTGTTGTGGTTTTGAAATTCTTTTCTTTAAAAAAAAACAAAAAAAAAAACAATCATATGCTATTTATTCTCCACACGAGATGGATAATAAAAACAAAATGTACCATAATAAAAAGCATTTTTCGTGTAATATACACAGCAGACAATAACCAGGAGGACTGAATTGCATGCCATTTGATTTTCTCTGGCTTTACACTATTTGACCAGCATAAGCTTTATAGTGGTAATGATGTCCAGGAGGAGAGAACTGAGCCATGGAGCCAGTGCTGTGTCCTACACTTCTTTTTCATCTGTCCAATCATGACAAACAATAAAACAATAGTACAACTGTTTCAGAAGTGCGAGAAAACACGGCTTGATGTTCTGATGTCCTATCCAATGCAGACACAGGTGACTGAATAAAACCAGACGCTCTTCCTCTGCAGCACTGCGGCTTTATATATACATATATACAGTGCTCCTATTTTACAGTAATGTCAAAAGGATTAGGACACAGTCTCAACTTTCCCCAGAAATAACATCTGACTGAAAAGTAAGAAAGAACTGAGAAGAGCTGCCAGTACAGTCTGTTTGGAAAAACTGACATCCAACACATTTTTGACTGAGCTGCATGCTTCAGTATTCCCCTGGATTTATATTGTCAGAAAAAATATATACAAACAAATCTGAGACTTAAAACACTGTGAAAGAGAAGTAGATGTGCTTCAATACAAATCCAGTCTGACCTCTGTCCTACATACTCTCGCTACTGTGTATCAGTCCTTTTATGTTCTTATCACAGAAAAGCAGTGGAAGATGGACTCTGACTGGCTGGTTAGAAACGCCCAGTGGGATGCTAATAGGAATGGGAGGAATGTCTGTGGAATAGCAGCTGAAGCGCTGGATGACTCTGGGGCTATATGCTTTGCAATCTCTGCAACTCAGTGTGCTGAAAATTTGTACATGCTTGAATGTGAATGAATTATTCAGACAGCATATTAATGTGCAATGGGAACACTAACCTTATCAAGTTTTGTTCAGCAAGTGTTTATGACAACATAATCAAGGAAGTCCTCACTAGATGAACTTGTTAAATACTGCCTGTTCTGCTGCAGCCTAGTTACCAGCATCACCCCTCATCTGCACTGGTCCCAGAGAGACTGTGAAAGATGGCAAGATGACAGAGACTTGAAGCTTCTCAGGAGGAGTGAAGATGGCACCACAAAATCTGCCCAGAGCCTCCATGGCACACAGACCACTTTCTGGACGGCAGGGCATAGATGCATTGCGGTTCCCATCTCTGGATTCTTGACTAAGGAGAGAAAGCAGATGCTCTCCTATAGCATCCCCTCATATGTTGGCAGTAAGCAGAGGCCTACTCTGGGCCCACCTGGGGAGCAGTGGGTAAAACCTTGTTTTGTATCCAGTCTGGAGGCATGAAGGACAGAACAGCCAGATTCTCTGGTATGCAGACGGTGAGAGCCACAGAGGCACACGGGGGCTTCGTGGCCTCAGCCCCACAACTAGCTGCTCAGTCTCTGATGCAGTGTGAGGTTTGGTAGAGCAGCTGTGTTTTTGGCTGCACTCTCCAATACCACTGTGTCACCAGTGTCACCAGTGTCCCGTCACCAGTGCCCCCCCCCTCCCACAAGAGGAAGTGGATACCCTATCCCAGGAGATCCAGAAACTGATCTCAAACCAGTGGGTACATTAATTTTATAAAGAACATTGTGCATGCACATCTTAATGAAGTGATGTTGGGCGACTTCCACAATAGAGGCGCTCACTTTAATGCTTCAGTGTTGCCTCGACTCAAGGTGTTTCTGCAGTTTAAATTTAGAGGGACAGCTTGCAAGTGCTATAGATTGCTGGATTGCTGCTCCCTAGTTCTTTACACTTTATCTGTGAATCTATGGACAGAAGAGCCTGAGCCACTGTGGCAAAAAGTACATTTCAGAAAAGTGGAATAACTGTCTAGTTCATAAACAGGTGACCAAGCTCTCCACTACTATCTAGGTCTGGTTAATATCACAATATCGTCTTCTACACCGGTTACAGGATGTTATAGCACTTAGATACCACTATACTCCTGTATTTTTCACTGAGTCAATTATAAATGCAGTTGCACGTCCACAGTGAGGCTCCATTATGGTATTAGGTTTTTCAGAAAGTAGGCATCATGGAGAAAGTGACATAATAGGTTTGTGTCTACTATATACCGCCAGTAATACCACCCTCTGCTCATGCCTGCTAAACCTCCAACTGTATATACATTATATAAGAATGTAAACAAAACAAAAAATTACAAACAAACAATTGAAATGGCCCCTTGAACTGAATACAGTTCACTGTGTTGTGCTCACCACTTTACATTGGCACAGGCGTGAAAGGAGTTTGCACGCTCACATTCCACCACAAAGCCCAATACACAGAGCACATCAGAAAAATATGCAGATTGATACCGATATCCCCGGTGGACATGACTTTCACTAAATTTTATGGTACTTTAGGACCAGGTAGGGCCAGAGAGGGGGAGTGACGATAGAGAAAGACCAAGAGAATGGGTGAGGGGGCGGGGAGACGGGAGCTAGGGCAAAGACTTTGAAATCTGAACCAGGCTTGAATAACAGTGCCCTCTCTTCATACCGAGTGACAGCGATACATTAGCCAAACAAATCAGTCTGAGCTGAGACTCTGTGTAGAGCTGGGAGACCAGAGCATTAAGTCCTCTTGCTTAAGAAGACACAGACTGCTTCCAATCATACTATTTCTGTAGTTAGAAGTTTTTTTTGTAAGTTAAAGCCAACCTCAACAATCCATAATGTAATAATTTATTTACCACACCACTGTAAATGTAATGTCTACTTAAAAGACTTCTGCAAAGATTTTCAGTCTCATAAACTAAAAGCCAAGGTCATCAGCACATTACATACCAAACCAAGAAAGCAAGCACAGGAGGTGCAAGGGAAAAATTCTTGCCTACAACCACAGGGAACTGGGGTTTGGCTTGGTTGTGCCTTTAAGTGACACAAAAACCTTCAGTGTTTGCAGGAAAGAAGATTGGTGGTGACTGATATAGCACTTTTAGATACACTAGCAACTCCTACTGGTTGGAAGTGTGATCTGATGGAGATAGCGTGAACCTGCACATTACACCCTCTTGGTAAAACCCATCGCTAACAGGTGAGAAGCAGCAGCTGCACCCTGTGTATCAGGGGAGGCAGTAATCTCTATGATAGATACTCTCACCAGGTCAACAGGTCTCAACAGGGGAGTCAGCAGGGACAGGGCCTGCAGTTTACCAGGAAGGTGAAGGAGACAGGACATAGACAACAATCTAAATCTCTTATGTAATAGGTGAATAAAGAATGAGTAAGTTGCCAACACATTGGCAGCGACTGTCAAATCAACATAAACTCTGACTTGCGCATGAACTAAGTTGAATGAAACAATTACCACAAAACTGGATTTTAAATAAACAAATTATGATTGCATATATCTTTTCTAGGATTTTTTGCTCAACACACTACATGTTAGGTACATGTCAGAAGTATAATGGAGTGAAACAGAAGCTAACAGTCCTCTGGAGAGAAAAAGAGAATTAGAGTAAGCTCACAACTTCACAAATCAAATCGCTAGCGTATGAGTCTTAATTTTGATACTGGTCCAGATAAAAATGACATTTATTGTCCATGACAGGTGATCTGACCAATATATCACACATCCTTATATGACAAATTGAATAATTTCTTAAGAGGAACTGTCAAACAACAGCCAGGAGTCTCACTCTAACACACAGAATTATACTTCTGCAGTTTGGCAGAGATTACAAATCTGCCATGTTATTTAAACCAGGATTTCTAAATGATGTTTTTCGTTTTAACATTGTTCATCCTGGAAAATATGATGTAAAGCAATCTTCATAAAAGTCAAATCTATGGCTTTAGCTGTAGGTGAAAAAGGGAGACAAACTAGTGCCCATAAATTACCCAAGGAACAGATTCAATTTCAAGCTACTGGCACTGGTCAGAGATGCATAAATATTATACAGTGCATTTAATAAACTCTGTAATATGAGCCTACACCCATGTACTGTGTTACAGTTTTGTTAATGAGGTAAGGATGTCTATATTCCTATATCACTTCTGTGTATTTAAAACTCAGTGGAAGACATTTTGCTAATTGGGAAGCTCACCTTTGCTTTGCTATCTTGGGCAGACATGTAGCCAACACACATGCTCTCTGTGGTGTGACTCCATAGGAACTCCACTGTGAAAACATACAGATAAAAAGGTTCATTACAGAATGAAAAGGAGAAAATGAATCACAAATATACATGCATATAAATGTATTAGTATAAATAAAAAGAGCATGCAGCCAGAGGGACAGGTGGGGAGGGAACAGACTATGTAGCTTCACTAAAGTTGAGTCTTTCCATCTGCCAGAAGAAAAAGTTTGGCAGGTGACTCAGCGTGCTAAACTGCAGTAAACTCTGAGCATGCCCATTATTATGAAAATATATGACTTGCAGTTGTGACATAACTGCAGAGGAAGTTAGAACTTGTGGGTTGGATGAGAAACTCAATTACAGTACCAAAAGGATGTGGCTGACATACTGTTTATTCTTGTAAATCAACACAGAGCCCTTTGCAGTCCACAGTAATCTGAGGTAGTCCACAGTCTGCACAAGGGCTACGCTCCGTAAACAGGAGCATCAAACAGAGTCTGTACATCACTGAGGAAGCAGCACTTTGGAAAATTTTATTATTCAGGCTGACATAATTCACAATATAAATAGCGTTTCACTTCACATTCGCCATCATGTTTAATTTGAAATCAAGATGTCATCCCCTCCTACACTGGGGAAACATCTGCTCTACTTTGTCTGTGAACTTTAACTCATCCACTGGTTTCTTTGGAGCTGAGGGTTCGATACACATCATGTTAAAATTAATGCAAAGGGCAAAGGCCACTAGCAAGTCATATGGCCTCAAATTCCATGATGGTAGCTTTGAGAAGTGAAGGAGTGTTCTCAGAAGCTCCAGGTAGAGAAATCACATCTACTAATACAATCAGCCAAACTGGGCAGTGTTCAGAAGGCCTCCACTTGTCTGAAGATTAGTGGTTGATTCCATAGTGGGAGGTCCCTGTTTGAATCTGAGATGAAGGGTGTGAAACCAGAGCCTGATTGTGCAAGTTAAAACATAGACCACCCGCAAGGAAAGCCGCAGTGCCTCCTCCCCCTCCTCCTGACTATCTGAGGGAGGATTCTGAAATATTAACAGCAAAATCTCTGACTACCATCAGCTGTAGCATGAACGTTTGAGAGTGATCAGGCTCGAGATGATTAATGTCTTACCCAGTATACCCTGAATATTTTGAGAAGGCTGAGCCTCCACACATCTGCAGCACCGCAAGACAATTACTCCACCCAAAACACGATCCTCGCTGGCCAGAAAGGGTGAACCTGGATACAAAGAAAACACAACAGTTGAGATTATTAGAAATGGCATAAATATGGTAAAATGACAAGTCTTCTCAATCAATGAAATCTTTAGTATACGTTTAGCTCTCCACTGTAACACACTGAACCAAGGAACACATGAAAAGACCAGACAAAACACAGCCCCATCAAATGAAGGTGATCTATGAGAAACAAAAACCTTCCATTCAAGTTGTTTGCCTTTTTTGGCCAAGTTAAACAACTGAAAGCAATTATTCTATCCTGATATATTTATCTTATTTAGCAGACAGTTAAATTAAAATATTTCACTCCATCTGTATGGGCAGGTTTTTAGCACATAATAGGTTCATGACAGGTAGTGTCATTTTTAATTTCTGCACTATACTCACCAGTCTAGCACAACATTTCATTTAAAAATAGTTAAAAATAGAAAAAGACCTTAAAGCTTGCTTTAAAAAAAAAAACAAAAAACAGCAGAAAAACTCATTGTGTGGAGTGAGAAACTTTCTTGCTCCCTGACTAAACTTCAGAAGAAGCAAACTTGAATGAGGTGTTGTGTACACAAAAAAAACTTGGATTGGCTGATTAGTGTGAGCAATAAAAGAAAAGAGGGTTTGGTTTGGAAAAGAACAAACTAAAAACAGCTCCAACATGTTTTGAAATGTCTCATCAGAGCAAGTAAAAAAAAAAAAACAGGACCAGTTGATGAAAATATTGTTGTGTCTGCATGCCATTGTTTCTCTGCTGTATTTCACAGATTTTGGTTCCATGTTGTAATGTTCCCTTCACTCTATAAAACACTTTTTTTAGTGTAGCTTGGAAAACATTCACACAAAATCCTGGTATTTGTTCTACATTTTAAAAAGGCTCTTAACTTTCTTTTGTTAAATATTCCATAACAACTCAGACATACACTCACTAAGCACTTTATTAGGAACACCAAACTAATACTGGACAGGGCATCCTTTTGCTCTTAAAACAGCCTCAGGTCTTCATGGCATACATTCCACAAGACGTTGGAAACATTTCTTTGATATTCTGCTCCATGTTGACATGATTGCATCATATGATTTCTGCAGATCTGTCAGCTGCACATTCATGCTGCCAATCTTCTGTTCTACCAAATCCCAAAGGTGTTCAACTGGATTCAGATGCCTGCTTCAGCACAAATCCAGATTCATCAGAGGTTTTTCCCATCTTCAACTGTCCAGTTTTGGTGAGCCTGTGTCCACTGCAGCCTCAGATTTCTGTTCTTGGCTGACAGGAGGTGAACCTGACGTGGTCTCTGCTGTTGTAGCAAATCTAAAAAAATTTTCTCACTATGATGTTTGATGTGAACATTAACTGAAGCTCCTGACCTCTATCTGCATGTTTTTATATGCTGCACTGCTGCTGTATAATTGGTGGATTGGATAATTGCTTGAATAGGCAGGTGTACAGGGGTTCCTGATAAAGTGCTTGGAGGGTGTATATGCCTGATGTAAACATGAGAGTAGTTCAGTTATTGCCTTAATGTTCACCATCATCTTACCCATAAAAATAAAATAAGGATAAATTATTGAGTATGTTGGTATGTGTGTGTGTGTCTCTTTGGCAGGTGTGTCAATACAAAATTACACAAACAGATCTATAAGTACTGATGGCATTTTCATTAAAGATATTCTATTTAGAGAACCTGACTTGAATGGAAGTGGAGTGAGCGGCCTCCACATCACAGACACTGCCATCAGTGCTCCTGCTAAGGCAGGATTTATGGAGCTTTGTTTAACTTAATGTGCACCTTGAAAGGAAACAACAGAAGAATTAACTTTTAAATTGACTTGATCCAGCCTGTCCAAATGTCTTGGTGTTACAGATGTCCATGACAAAGCCAAACTGGGGCGGACTTCTAAAGGAGGCCAGAAGAAGGCAGAAACCACCACATGTTTCCACATGTCCTTTCTTCCTCTGCTGTCTTCTCTGAACTATCCAGTGGTCATTCACAGGCGCAGCAAACACAGTTAACAAGACTTTCTAAAACTGACCACTTCTGAGAATATGGCAAAAAAAAAATTACATCTTCACATGAACTTTCAACAAAACAACTGACAGCCACAAAATTATCTGTGGCTGTCAGCTATAATGTGTGGAACATTTGAAGGCCCTGTTTAAACGGTGAAAAAGATCCATAAATCAAAAGCCGTTTCTTCTGTACTATTATTTCCAATGTTTCCAGTTGTTAGCTCATTCCTTATGTTATGCAACATCTGTTTATTCGCTTTATTCCCTCTGTGCATAAGTATGTTTCTCGCAAACACGTTCTTGGCAGAAAAATCTATGCATACGGAAAGGAGTGGGAATCAGGCTACATGTGGGTGACTCACTGATGAACTTGTTTTGCATAGCCTCCAACAGTGCTTGGTGGGCATCTTCAGACTGCATGGCAGCAGAGCATTCCCGTGCCAGCATGGTGCGAATCAGATGCTCTCCACAGCCTGGCAAAAGACATACAGACACACCTGAATCTGTAACATTAACTTGTATTAATTCCCTTCGTTGTTGCAGGCACGCATGCCTCAATCAGAACTGTACAAAGTCTCCAGTGAGTTAGCTTTGAGAGAGTTGTAGCACATGTAGTACAAACCATTCACGCCCAAGAATCTGAGGCGCATAAAAAAAAAAAAAAAAAAAACAGAAAAAAGAGTTTTAAACCTTCAGTTGTGTAAGGTATTAATCATATTTTGATGTTTCACATCTTGATGTTTAAGTGAATTTTGAATAGACCAGTATGTACAAGCACTTCCTGATTACCATTTGTAATAATATGCTTTGATATTAGAAACCCATTAAAAAGATCACATTTTTCCAATATATCTTGTCATTAAGTTACATAATGGAAAATATTGGAAAAATGAAAGGATTTGCTTTTTCAGCTTATACAACACATTTAGTGCTACTGCAGTCATTTTGGCACCTTCTCTGTGTAATTAAGTTTTATTATTTCAGGTAAAGTTGACAGCCCCTGGGGGCTGCCAAACACAGCTGCCTTGCTCAAGGGCACACTGACAGTAATTGCCGAAGGAGGGTTTAGGTTTCACATTCAGTTCTCCTGCCCAGATTCCCAGCTGGTCTGGGAATTTGAAATAGCAACCATCCAGTATTACTCTCTAAACTCTGTGCTCTAGCTGGCTCACTGCATAACTGCAGTGGGTGCGTGCATACCTGCAACATTTATGCATTAATTTTATGTTAATAGGATTGACATTTATATGTTACCATAATATGTGTTTGTGATTTTCACAGTTTGGCTTAAATGGCCAAACACCAAAAGTATGTGGCAGGTAAACAAGAAGAAACTATTTTTATACTGACTAACAGTGGGGAGTAAAGACATGAAACAGTGGTCGGATATAATTGACTACATGCCAAATGTAACAGAATTTCTTACAGTACACAGAAACAAAACTGCATATAGTGTAGAAGTGTAGTGTAGAAGTTGTGTGCGTGAACATTATATTCATGCAAAAACCCAATTCTCTGAATTCATTTAAATGAAATCAAAGAGGTCCCAGCAGAGTGTGCTCCAGTGGACCCTAACCCCCTGAATCTGTCTGATGCCTTTCAGTTACGCTGCATGTGGTATATAGAAAAGCCCAAGGAGAGAAAGTATTAAAGCAAACCAGGAACCATAAAAAGAATGGGCAGTTTGTACATATGTCTCACCTTGCCCTCTTCCACTTCCAAGTCAAAACACAGCAGGTATGCTTTTTTATATCTTAGATAATGTGCTATGTAATGCTTGAAGGACTAATATTAAATCCAAAACCTTGCTGTTGCTGCAAAGGAAATGACAGATATTGAATACATGCTGCATGCAAACAAAATGATCTCTCTCATTTGTAAACTCTGCCCATACTCAGGAAAAACACAAGAAATCTAAAAGTAAAAACAAAACACATCTGGCAAAAGGTCTTGTGAAAACCCATAAAGACTTGTTGTTTCTGTAAACACAAATGAAGGCCTCATAAAATATCAGGTAACTACAACAAAACTGAATGCAGGTCGGTAACTGTGGAGATCAGATGCCTTGAGCAATTTGAAGTTCTTTTTTAACGAGAGCAGAATGTCAGACTGGCCAGGTACTGTGCCTTTTGCACTGTGTTTACCATAACCCACTTGTCCCAGGGGAACTGGATATTATGGCACCACAAACACAGTTGAGGTGGAACTGCAGCAAGAAGCCAAGACTAAGTCGGAGAGGCAACAGAAGAGAAATGTAAAAATAAAGAGGCCAACAAGCGGAGATACAGTATGTGACAGCCAACAGCACCAAGAGTAAACAGTGAAGTTAATGGGCTGTTCTCTGACTGGCCACAGCAAAGAAAAGGCCAGATGAAGCAGTCAACGCATATAAAACACAGACCCACATGAGCTGAATATTACAAAACAGACGAGAATGAGGGGTGGGAGGTGGGGTGGAGGGGTGGTGGGAGGTGGGGGCACATGGGCAAAGTGGTTGTGAGGCCAAGGGAAGAAAGAGTGACATACAGGGTGAGGATCATACTCCTCATGTCAGAATGAAAATCATTGTTTTTCAGTTTCTTTTGATGAGAATGCCTTTCATGTTAGGAAATTAAAAACAGGTGCTGCACTGGAACACACATTATGTTCCCCATACCCATAAGGAAATCATCTTTTTTTTTTGTAACATCAAAGGTAAAGCCACAATATAGGAAGAGAGGATGAGATGAAAATACTTACAGAGCAAATATCTACACTTCATCTACTCGAATAATTGATGAGCAGTAGACTATTACCAAGACAGCGGTCTTATACTGCTTGTTAAGTATAATAAATGCAGGATAGAGCAGTTGAAATTAAGCCAGACTATGTAAGTGACAGACCTTTATATTTCATAGATACAAATGTACAGAACTAAATTCAAATCACTATTTACAACACTATTTACTACTGAGTCAAACCATCTGGATGTAAACAATACGTTAAAAGATTGGTTGCCTTTTCTTGTTAAATTAAATTAAATGCTAAATTAAATGTGCCAGAGAGTATTCATGCACTGAGGCATACATTTTTTAGGGCCTTCAGGATAGCACACACTGTTTTGGGCTTTTTAGAACTACAGTTGTGGTTACAGTACAAAATCCGTTTCCTAAGCATTGTATATATTAAATAATAGGTTTGGTGTGACTGTTTTTGTTGTTACACATGCCTAGATTTCTCACTGATTGCTCATGATATGAACAGGCAAGCTTTATGGAGCAAAACGCTGGCGATATTAGTGGTACATATGACTCAAACTTTAGCCTGTCTGATCAAATCAGCTCATCTGCACTGAGATGCATTATGCTTCAGATCCACATCAAAAGATTTTAATGTTCCCCAGAAGCTATGTCGCAAATGCCTACACATCTTAAAGAAGTGGGCTAATATACTGTAGCCTCTCTGCCTCACAAAATCATATAGTTCAAAACCAGCAGTGTTGCTTTCAGCTAAAAGAGATATGCACTTTCATTTTCGGAAACACAACGGCATGGTTGTATACATTGTATAAAAACTTTCAAGAACATGTTTTTGAAATGGTATATTGGTCCTGGAAGCAAGGGATGTTTTTGTCCAATTGACTCTCTATATCAGTTTAAATCCCAAAGGGCCAGTGCTTCAAGAGATACCCTCCATGCTCCTGTGTGTGCTGTCAGCAGAAGATGGACAGAAGGAGGAAGGTGGCTGCTGTTATTTCTCTAAATGCAGACTTGAAAAGGCTGAAGCTTTTTAAAATCACAAATTTCAGAAGGCTGTTATTTCCATCAGTGGGAAGAAAAGTTCCTTTTCACTAGGTAGGTTGGTGCAATGAAGGGGTCTGGGGTTTAGTCCACACAAGCACATCTTCTTTTCTTTGCCTTGTGTACCCTTGCCCATTCCCTCCATCCTGCCCTCCATCATCCTTACACTTGGCATTGCACCCACCTCAATAAAAGTAGGTGGGGAATGCAGATTGTTTTCTCCAGGGCTATTGTTATTTTTTTACTTTTAAAGATAGTTCTTAGAGCTATCTTTTCATCTTCTTCTAACATCCCAATATAACAGTGATGAATGGAATTTAATGGATGTAACAGAAACATCAATGTGTCTTTCAAGAGAAAACAACCCAGTTACTCTGGGTAATGCACAGAACAAGATAATTCACAGTTGGAAGATTTCAATCCAATCATCGGCCCCCAACATGTCGTTACTTTGTATTATTTTTCACTTCAAAATCTTCTGCGCTACAATTGTTTACATTTATGTAAAATACCAGGGATTTTACAGACAGACACTGGTATTATAGCATTAAGACGAACAGCTCACGTGCTGCAGAGATGCTGACAATATACTTCCTGTTACTCAATAAAGTTTGAATCATGTTATGATGTTAGCCAGATGTTATGGTACGTCTACATGTCACTATCTTTAATTAACAATTAAATGAATTACACAATCAAATACTCTAATGGCCTACTTTACTTTTGAGATGATTCTGGGCTAAATTTGTTGTATACATTTTTATTTTCTCAAGAAGTCTTAAAAGTCCCAAAAACAGACTTTAAAAGTTAAAAATGTCTTCTGAAATTGTTTAATTGTTTGCTGTAGCTTTGAATGCATCCTGACATTTTAGGTAATTTCATAAAGACTGATAAAAGAGTAAAATGTATGAGGTTATACTGCATCTCAAAGGGACTTTGAAATGAATCTTTCTATCTTTAAATATGAACTTTAAAATTGTTCTGTGTGATAAACGTGATAAATCAAAATCTAAGGTAGCCAGGGTTGTCTAAAGAGCTGTGATAATTTATTGACAAGCTTTATCAGATTGTAAAAGCTTAAACCCTGTTAACCACTACTACTCACAATAGAAAACCAGCAAGAATGCCAGTTGGATTAGTTCAGCTCTTCTGCATGAAGAGAAACAATAGCAACCACCTACTTCCTCCCACTCCTCTTCCTGAAGCTAACACAGCAGAAAGACAGAAAAGGGAGGAGGACAAGCAGTATCTGACAGGTGACAGCTATAAATCACCACCATGGCACAATGTGTCTCGGGTGTGGGGTTGTGAGGTCAGTATCAGAGGCTGTCTACAAATGAAACAAGAGACAGTGCCGAAAATCTGAGTTATATACTTACTATACGTGTACTGTACTTAATATACAGTTAGATATTGCAATTGTTAGTAAAATCAGTAAAGAAAATACCGTTTAATGCAGTTCTGAGTGAGAAAATTTCAAAAGCTCAATAAAAGTTTTTTTTCTATTGCTTCTAAACTTTGTATTGGCAGAAGCAATGTGTTAACCGTCTTTTTGAAGCAAAACATCTGTTCACTGTAAATTGCAGTCAACAATATCCAGAGGCAGCAAAGAACAGAGGCTTTTGATACTAGGAAGATACTGTAAAATCTGCATGAAGTTTAAATTTGTATATTTAGTTTTAAAAATTGTTTTCAGTTTGAATTATATTAAGATTTACAGCTCCTCATATTGGTAGAATGTTGGTAGAATTGTATCTCCCTTACACACCCACAAAAAACCTGGTGGTGTCACAACTTGCTCACAATGGCACACTGTGGCACATGTTTAATTATTTTAAAATATCTTAAAACATAAATAACAAAGACTGATGATGGCCAGCTGATATATATGCATCACTCTTCTTAGTTTAACCATAAACATTAAATAATTATTGTAAGGTGAAGTGAATTTTGGGACACAGAAAAAAAATACCACATAAACTTTACATAACCAACTTCTAACAGATTTAATTGCCTGGTATAATACCATCACTTATACGAGAGAAATTATGATCTGGATCCAGATAACTGCACTTGAAGTTTGCAAATGTACAATCTTTCTGCTGCGCTCACAGCAGTTCCCCTTCCATCATATCTACAGCAGGTGTCCCATGTCAAATGTCATTGCAAATCCAAAGAGCTTTGCAATGCACCTGGCATGTAGCTGACCAACAAAGAGTGGGGAATGATGACTCAATCACTGGAGGAAGTGACTGATGAGGATCACGCAGCAGGAATGGTTGGAGGTCATTGGAAAGTATTTTGAAGCTTTTTGAAGCTTGACTCACTGCGGCTAAATAAGAGGCTCACATTAAATATCTGTCTCTGATTCATATTATCTCCAAAACAAAAAGGCAGGCCGGTGGTAAACATTAATGGTGAGAGGAAAGTCACGTACTGCAAAGTCGGTTGTAGAGAGTGTGCTGGAGTATACCTGAGGTACTCACTGCTGTAGAGTAAGGGTTCATGTTACAGGCATTTTCAGCCCAGCAGCCACATCCATAATGAGCAGCCTGAGAAAAGAGAGAACATTTTAGATACAACACAGTTATACTGTTGTTTCATATATGTTTTTTAGCAAAAATTCTCAAATAATAACTGGGAGTAGGGCATGCTCTTGTACAAATAAAAACACTTCAAATCCTATAATAAAGTCTGGGGTGGTCATTTCAGCCTAATTTACATTTCCACATCATTAACTATTGAACAGCATGCCATACTCACTACTGTACTGCTCTGAGCCTCAGGTTTTTTAACATTAAAAGTGTTAATGAGGTTAAGGCAGTAAATCCTGTTGGTCCACTCATTCTATTCAGCCCCCATTGTTAAGCTGCTGATTTTTTTTTTCCAGTTAAGTTACTGTTAATGCAAACTCATAACTTCCTGCAGCTGCCTCTACGTAAAAGACTTCCAGCACAGAAATGTTTTACTGGGGTTGTTGTGTTTGCATCACCATTAAAAAATGGGGCACACGACATGAGGATGATCGAGTGAGTGAATTCTCCTGTGGTAGATAAAAAAGTTCAGCTCTGTTAATTACATCAAACAGCAGCAATAGCAGAAAAACACAGCGAAGGGAAAATAAAGCTGGTTTGCTTCTTTTGGTAACACATGCTTGCTGGCAACTCTTATCAGCTGCTTTCATCCTGTCTAAAGCTTCACTGATAAGTTCATTTTTGGCCACTAGAAAGCATAAGACTCCATAAAACACAGTCCTGGCACATTATCATCTTCATAAGTTGTTAGTGTTTAATGTGATGGCAAGAAATTGCCAACAATTTTTTTCACTAGCATTGTGTTTATGGCCCCTTGAGGACAATCCACATACCAGGCTTTTTTTTTTAAAGCATTTTTGACATTCAACACTTGCTTGTATCATGGATACGCTTTTGTTTAATCAAATGTATCAATCCACACTGACTCCAATACATGCACGTCACCACAGGGCCCCCGTTCATTTACACTAATCATTTTTTCCTCTGGCACGCTTCATACAGTGTGATCTACAGACAGCTGTTGAAACTACTTCCCTCTTTCCAGTAAAACCAATATATGGTGGCTTTTTAGCTCTGTTTTGGTTTCCACCAACACCTAAGAAAAACATAGTTGCTGTCTTTAGCTGCTGAGATGTTTCACTCTATTCGTCTGCTGTCGGCAGTTCATTGTCTGCTATTCCTTGAAATCTTCTGTTTTTTTGCTTAAAATGGCTGCCTGAGGAAAACAGCAGCAAAAAAGCAGAGCAGGGTAGAAGCAGAGTTGAGTGACAATTCAACAATTCAACATTGACAATTCAATTCAAGGTCCATCAAGATAAGCAATCATTTAACTCGGCTTTTAAGTCAAAAGTATTGATCAGTGCTGTTTTCAGCAGCATTTAGTGCCTCTTGTGTATTGTGCTGATGTGTTTTTCCACCTGTCGATAAGCTGGGCCGTAGATTCAGATCATTTAGGGAGAGAAAAACTGTTTTTTGTTTTACAGCTGCAATTATTCTGAGCAGCATATCATTAGAATTTGACACAAACTACATGTAGGTGTACATTAATAATTTGTTCTCATGATACAGCACTGTATAGGCTGTGTTCACAGAATAAATAAGAAATTATACATTGTGTTACTAAATATATTCAAATAAAAAAGGAAATACTGAAATAATGACATGACATACGTTTCCAGTGATAGTGGTCTCAAACAAAGGCCTAGTTTGATCTTTACTTGAGTCACATAAAAATTTATTATTTAATGAAGTTGTTATGAGGATAAAGACATGGACAGAGAAAAAAAGGAGAAGAGGGTCTGACTACCTGGCCAACCCTGCCGGAATGTTTCATGGCCAGGCCTCCGCTGGACACCGCTGCAGCTACATTCCCTTCCAGGTCTACCACCACGGCTCCCACAGTGTCAAGACACCCTGAACCATTTTCCTACATCACAGTAGGTAAAGGAGTCACATGAACAGAAAAACAATGCATATATACAAATAGGCATTTTCAAATGGAAAATGTTCTCATGTGAGAATTAAGGCAAAATAGAGGAGCAGAAATCCAAACATTCACATTCTGAAGCAGAAATATCATCTCTGACTAAGGACATTTCCAAAACTAGAATTACTGCCTGGTTGTTGTGTGCCTCCACAAGTGGTCAAGTTGCGGGAAATATGATCACAATCCCCCCCCCCTTCTACTCCTGAGTTACAGTGTTGAATAATGGCCAGGAAATCAGATGTTTGTGTTAAATTGTGTCAAATAAGCAAATGAATTCTTCAATTATGGCCAAAAAAAGTGTTTTAAATTCACACTGACATTGACCTTTGACCCATCTCTAATCAGGTCATCCAAGTAAGTCCAAGTCAAAGTAAACGTTTATACCAGATGTAATGAAATTTCCTCCAGGCGTTCCTGATATATTGCATTCACAAGAATGTGACAAACATGCGCTCACAGTGACCTTGACCTTTTAAAACAAAAATCTAATCAGTTCATTCTTGAGTCCACGTGAACATTTGTACTAAATTTGAAGAAATTCCTTCAAGGCGATCCTGAGATATCACATTCATGAGATGGGACAGACGGATGGAGGAACAACCTGAAGACATAATGCTGTAAACAGCCCTGGCTGTCGCCAACGCAGAGGCATAATTAACTATGTACTGCATGAATTTATGTGTCACTCTTACTTGTCCTTCATATTTCATCAAAAAAATGTGCTTTTGTGATTTCAATCAGCTGTTTTCATTCCCTGATTGCAGTTTGCTTTGGAAGTGACTTGTTTGTGAACCATCATGACTCAGACTACATGATAAATTCAGTTCTACAGTGTAAATGTGTAAAATGGCATCATGATACATGATCAGAGCTCCACTCCTACCAGTAACTGACGAAGTTCATTGAACCTTGGACTGAAGAGGCAGACTAAAAAAAAGCAACAGCATTTCTCATCTGTTGTATGCTCCCCTAAATCAGTCCTGTCTCCAAGATTATGAGGCAAAATAGAACCGGAGCCAGCCATTTCGAAATGCTAAAGACTTCTTGTCACTCCCTATCATTGTCCTTGAATGAAAAAATCCACAGTAAATAATGACTGTAAAACTTAAGGGCATTTTGGAATTATAATGATATGCTTTCAATTTTCCTAAACAATACAGCAAAGATACACCATCATGAGACAGGTGCCTATATTGCACCAAAAAAATTGGAAAGATTTTATTGCTTGGCAAAAAGACAAAGGCATATAAAAGAACACTGCATATGATAATTATAACCAGATTTGATGCAGTAAGGTTTTTTGTTGATTCCACAAGTAAAAGCCATTCTTGATACAAAAAAATTGGTTATTTCCTCTTGACTAGTAAAAATGAACAATAAGGATGACGCCAAAATCCTGTTAAATACCCTGAAACTCTGATCAGGGCATGCCTGTGAACACTCATGGTCTGATATGTCCATGTCATTGTTAGCTTAACCTCACAAATGGTCACATATTAACCTTTAATAGGTCAAGCAGTTCTTTGTAAACATGTAAGAGACAAATGAGAACAGAGGGCAAGTCAAACCTTAAACTCTCATTTGGCAAACTCGCCATTTGACACAAAAATCAATCATATTACTTGAACATGCCTAAGTCAACAAACAGTCCAGCTTAGTTGTTAGTCTTTGTTTTTATGGATATATCATTAATATTGAGGATTGATGTGACTGAACTAAATAAACAATAATTCTGTTCAAAAACAGGTCCAATGAAGCATTACAGGCTTTGGCCATTTACACGTTTTACTCCATTTAACACAACTCACATCTGAACCAAGACAAATTCTCCCACCCTCTGCCGTGCTGTTGCCACTGCTAGAGACTTTCAACTCAGCTCATCATCAAGCCACTCTCCACTTCTGCTGCTCAGGGCACTAACACATTGCACTACCTCTTGTCAACACTTTAGTTGTTTCTGGGAACCATCTGTGCAACCTGGTAATGCCATTTCATGACCCTGTGAAAAGTGAGATCATAACTGTCAAAATATATCTTGATATCTTAGATGTGGAGAGTTGTTTAATTCCTTTCTTGTATAAAATACCATATTCTATTTGATATTGAGTTTGTGATGAAGTTACACCATTGGTCGCTAATTACCATGCTAATTAGGGTATAATGTCTCTTCCTCAATTTTGTCCCTTGATCATACACAGTCCAGTCATATACTAGGTTTTAACCTAGTCTTGTTAAATTCAGTCTAAAGAAATATTTCCTCAAACAAAACTTAGAATCTGGTTAAGAACCTGTTGAATGGGCTGCAAGCATTATAAAACTGACTTAAGGAGCACACCAATTTCATCACTAATAACAGCCAGAGTAACAGAGTAATGCAGCCACAGTCATGTTGAATTTTGAGTGAGGCATGTGTAACCCTTACTCTTACTGTTGCTACTGCTGTCCCTTCTCACCTTTGTAGGACTTAAGTCTGAAGTCTGATTTTATATGACAAACTTTTAAACACCTAATACCTCTGGTTTCTTCTCAGCACATCGTCTCTTTTAGTGTTTGTTGCATTATTGCATTAATGTTAGAGTTATTAAATTCTCTTTGTTTTGTTCTTTTCTAAGGATCAGTGTAGAGGTGCAAGTCACCCACGCTTGCTGGAAGAACTGTTACTTGATTTGCAGGAGTTGCCTTTCAACCTTACTATATATTGAGATTGGAGCTGAAGGCATTTTTATGAAGAGTAGCAGAGGGATTAGCTGAATATTGGTTGTCTAGGTCTCAGATCTCATCTGATATTTCTGTCAATTAGGATTGCTGCGATTTCTTAAAATGGGAGACAAAACAAATAATCTGTCTGCAAAGTTAAGCCTTGAAGGACTCTGATGTATATCACTGCCAATATCTGGTGAGTTGTTTATTTCAAAGAAAAACTGAACTTGTGTAATAAAAAGATCTTTACATTTGGATTCAGGTAAAAAGTATGAGTTAATTGTCCAAAATTTAGAGAGTGGGCTTCCATGGGGAAAGCTGATTTCTTTGGCGCAATGGTCAAAGTTTAGTTCTTTTCTGCACTCAGTGTATTCAGTAGAACTTACCTTAATTAGCTTATTTACCAGAGAGACCAAAATTTTGGTGCAAGGCCAGATTTGGCCAACTATTTGCTGACCACTAGTACAGAAATTTTTGTTTAGCACAAGTGATGCCCCGGGTAAGCTGGTCAGAACTATGCCTATTAAAAAGCATGATGTTGACTGCAAAGAATACAATTTCAAAATCAGCAGGAAGAGGTGGGTTCATTCTTACTGAAGTGATGTAGTTGAGAAAGAATACACTTAATGCCGTTAAAATAAGCGTTCTTACTGACAACATAGTACTCACATTTTCACTTGATTGTCTTCTTTTCTTTGTCTGATTATGTCCCGTGTCCATTTTCTCTGCCAGCTCCATCTTTCTCTTGTTCCTCTTGTACGCAGATAAACTGAACTCTGTGTGTGACAAAATAATCTCTTTCTCATGCATCCACATAAGTTTATGTTTTTTAAACACAGTGTTTTGATTCAGTTTTGCAGCTACAGATAATGCATTTTAGATGGAAAATTATTTCTGAATCACTGTGGCAATACTTACTGGTGGCCATTTTCTCTGAAGGGCACGGTGGTATTCCATGGCTGACAGCCCAGTCATGTGCTCCTAGCCCCACTAAAAAGCTAACAAAAGAAAAAAAATTAACATGTGGATATAGACACATCAATACATACAACATTAATTAATAACCATGATAATCACCAGGGTGGTATTCTGCCAGCTGATAGTTTCCCTTTCTGTGCTTCACTCAGTAGACGGTTTGCAACTAACACTGGGTTCTTAATACCTGAAGGAAAAGTCAGAATTATCACAGAGCTAGCAGTTCATTCCATATGATTATATTACAGTGTAAACAAATATGGGGAAAATAATGGATTTTCTTAACTTTCTATGTATGCTGTGTTTGATGCTGTGGGTGAACTGAATATGATTTTCATTTTTGTAATATATATATAGTTATTTTCACAGTCAGTGTATTCACAGAGTTTACTACGTAGTATTGCACATTTTCCTTTTTTGCCACTGTCACACAAGCATACGTATGAGTGCTAGTTTGCTTTTAGCCTACTTACATACATCCATACAAAACACACGTTAAAGTATACATTTCTAAACCAACAAAGTTTCATTCATTTCATTCAATGCTGCCTTAACTCCTGGGTTGTTGTTTGGAATAAATACAAAGTTTTTTTTGTTGAAAGCCTTCAAGGAAAAGTAACAGTGAGTATGACAACTATGACAACAACAATTAATTAAATTATTTATTTATTGGTTGCCCTCAAGGTAAAAAATGGGTGGTCCCCCATTGTAAGGATTTATGATGTCAATTCTCTCCAGTGATCTCTTTTTGACTTTAAGAGAGTAGAATATAAATCAGTAAAACCTATGACAGATAGAGGCTTGGCTCATTGCCATTACTTCCAGCTGACTGAAGTTCACTGCCACAACAACATAGCAGCCTTATATGAATATCAACACATATGTAGTAACTCACCACTAATAGCGCCTACGGCTCCATAATGCAGTGACTTCCCGTCCATGATGCTTGCATCACATTCAATTTCTCCAGACAAATTAAGGTTGGAACCCATGCCCGCGTTTGTAAAAGGAGAATCCTGAGAACAATTAAGACATGCAGAATCTAGAATAAATCTTTATTTGCGATGAGCCATATTGTCAATGTTAATATACTGAAGGAATGTCATTCCTTTGTAGACAGTTTAACCAAGACAAAAAGGGTCACTAAGGTCCTTAGTCTTAATGTAATGGCATTTTTCCCACACAATACAGAGTCTGTGCTGTAGTTACAACTTTTTTACACAACACTTGTTGTCAATCTGCCTGGGTGCAGATACTGCACAGCAGAGCATATGGTTATTCTAATCTTGTCTAACCTTAATTGATCTCTTAGAAAAACACTTCTACACTGCACGTCTGTACATTCTTACAGCTGCAGAGTTTGTCAGAGTCATTATTTCTCATTCCAACCCTGTCTTTAGGTTGTCAAAATGTCAAATGAAGCTTCTCATCCTTACTGAACACTTTTGGGATGTTGTCTTTTTAAATCCAATCTGGGCCTAAAATAATTGTTCTTTATTCTGTATGTCGATTGGTATTACATTTAGTTAAAAAAAAAGTCAATAGAGGTTGACTTCATATCATCAAGCCTGGATCATAATCAACCCACCTCAAGTTCAACCAGTGCTGCTGCCACTGCTTCAACTGCAAGTGCCCCAGCTTTGAGCTGGTCCACAGCCTGTGAAAGACAGATGGAGACATCTTGTTGAAAGCACAACAGCTTACCTGTCAAAACACCAAATACACCCTCATGCTCATTTCAGCATTTATACAGTACTTTCATTACCTACTTTCATCGAAGTCAGTTATGTAACACTGTGATAAGATATGGACAGAAATTAATTATTTAACTTTTTCCATGGCACTACTTTGTTGTTTTCTAGCCCCTACGTAATCACACTACAATGCATTTACTGGATTACCTATATTTCCTGCTACTCACAAATACAAAAATCTATACCTGAAAACATAAACTCCATGGGAGAGGTAAAGAGGATTTAACATTTATCAAAAGCTCAAACTATTGTAAAGCAAGGGTGATGGCAGTACCATGGGGTTGTTTTTCTGGTGTAAGGAACGAAGGAACTTGAAAGGATGGAAGGAACAATGAATGAAATTGAATACAAGTAAATTCTTGATAAGAACATACTTTAGAGTCCAATAGAACAAAGAATTCCCTTCCAAAAGCAAAAATTATTTTAATACAGCCAAATGAAAACTGGAATAACTTCAAAACAAGAACATGAAAGTGCTTCAGTGGTACAGCCAATACATAGATTGGAATCCCACTGAAAATTTACAGAATGACAGCTGTTCACAGATGCCCCTCATCCATCATTTGCAAAACATTTGACACATGTGTCAGGAAAAACTATACACTTTCTGAAGACACAGGACCCATTGATAGAACAAGAGCAGACCACATCTGTGTGCAAAAATGTAGCAGAGAAAAGTTTAAACACACTTCAGTATTTAGCGACTTTCAGTTATCTAATTGGTTGTGACATCTGACCAAATTCTATAGACAGAGCAAGTAAATTCACTAACTGGGTTGACTTCTTTGTATGGATGGAAGCATATTTATTCCATATTTACGACATAAAGAAAAAAACATTTATTTCTGTTTGATACTTGGGTCACAGAAGAATTCTTTGGTAATAATATTTTGCATTAATTTAAGCTAAATTTACATTTAAATACAATGTTAAAACAACGTTATTGTATTCTTTAAGGAACGCTCCAAAATGCTACTTTAATTGTTGACCAGTGTCATTTCATGCTGTTGCTCTGCTTTCAGAAAATATTTAAAAGATTGAATACTGGGAAGAAACAAATTATCTGGATTGAAATAAATCATATTTTACTGACATTCCATACACATACATATACAAGTTATTATGGTAATATTCATAAAGTAAACTTACTCGCTGGCAGGCTCTTTTGCACACATGCTTGTACTCCTTCGCCTTAGATTCAGAATGGTATCCTGCTCCTGAGAGCAAATAATGGGGAAAAGTTGTTTAACCATTCATAAAGTGATGATAGTTGTCTTCCTCAAAGAAGGATGCTTACTATTTCTCTTCATTCTACTTGTTAAGTAAAGCATGCACACTTACCTGCATGCACTAAAACAAATCCACCAACACCTTTTGTTTTTTGATTCTTGCTTGAGTCCTGTTTTTTGGACCATGCGTTGGCCAGAGGAGAGGATGGTTGCTGTTCTTCAGCAGAATTCATTACACTTTCCATAACCCCTGCATAACTTGATAAGCCTATCATGGCCTATCAGACAGCGGTAAGAAAATCATTTCCATGGCACACCTGTGACATAAAAGGAAATACAAACATTACACCTCAGGAATAAAAAAGACATTTTTGATTGATTTGCAATATGAAAATAGCCTCTTGCAAAGCAACATGGTGGTTCTTAGCCAATGTTGTATGCAAAAATTTGGGCAAAATTTGATAAATTACATACGTTGTTGTTTTTGAAGTGAATAGAGGTAAATACCCCTGCAGCAAAAAGACATTAAAAATGAATCTTTTTTTACTTAAAATTAAAAATAACTACTTCGCAACACCCCACCCAGAGCCCTCAAAATCCACCAAGAACTACTTCAAGAAACTCAAACTGAACCTTTGGAGGAGTCCTCCCAGTCCCTAATCCTGAACAACACTGAAAAAATGTGGGTGCAAGTTAAACATGCTGTTTGTGTCAGGCAGGCTGAAATATCTCAGAACTTGAAGTGATCTGCAGGGTAGAGTGGATGAATATTATCAAATCAAACATTAGTGGCTACAAAAAGCACTTGCAAGCTGTGATACTTAATAACAGGCTACATTTACTAATATGAAACGTTACATTCAACTAACAGGTACAAAGATCATGTAACTAACGGCCAACCTTGTAGCTAATGTCATCTGACAACATGATATTTATGGTCCACAACATTACAATTCAAAGCTAGCACCTAATATTATTTACTTAAACATTAATGGTATCATCCATCTCGTTAACGTAATTTGACGTTATCAACTTTCCAAACAATTCCTGTTGGATAGAATGTGTCATTGCGCATGTCACTTTACAATTTGTGCTATTAAACAAGGCTTACTTAGTTTTTGTTACGTCTTTACTTACCGAATAAAGAATGATGTTATATATAAGACAAATAAGTTATCTCAAGTCAAGCTAACAGTCTTGTGGTGTCGTTAGCTTGTTAGCTAACAGCTCGCTAACCAACAAAACAATCTCAACTTACACTTTTCACTCCTCTCCTCTCAGCGACACAACTGCCCGCTAACCACGACGTAACCTGGCATATGTTAAATACACATGAACGGTAGCCGGACTCATAAATCAAACTAAGACAAACTTTGCTGTCACACACTTTCAGTCCACTGTGCTATCCATAGCTAGTTAGCTACAGCATACAGAAGTACTTCCTGGTTCAGATACACGTTGCTAAGGAAGTGCGTTCAATGCAAACATTGGTACACGTGGATGAAGCTGCACAAAAACTTAGATATTGTTGGAAAAAATTAAATTGAAATACGTTTGCAGGTGCAAGGACATGCATACACAAAATACATACACACAAAAACGAATAAATTGGATGGAAAACGTACATGATTCAGGAATTTAAAAACGATTTGACATTTCCTTTTTTATTAATTAAGAAGTATATGGGCCATTATTATACAACATTTCATGAGATCTCCACTGAATTCTCATGTGGCTATCATATCTCACTCTTAGAAGACAATCATTGTCCAGGACATTTTTGATCAAGTTTTAACCCAGGTTTTTAACAAGCTTTAATATTAACTAGCCTACACTAAAATGAAAGGGCCAGTTAACTAAATTAGAAAGAAATATATTTTCATTTACCAGCTTCTGAGATATCTGTCTTCTCTGATGTGGGGTGGATACAGTATAGTGTTTGTGGTGGTCACAGCATGGAAAATTTACTTTATTTTTAGCTATTTATTTTATTCTTCTTTTACACCAACATATCTTTCCAGAAATGACGCCCTGTTACTCTAGATTATCCACAGACCTTGTTGTGGACACTCTCATTGGAACTAGTTTCCTCTTTTTTATTATTTAGGTACTGACATCAATGCAACTCATTCATGGAGGAGTAAGAATGTGGTTCCAGACGGTTTAGATAAGGAAACCATGAAACAGTGGGGGACTTGTCCAGGATTGTCTCTAGCTGTACTATAGAAACCCAATACAAGGGTTTATAGGTTTATATAAAAAACATGAAATAATTGCCTACTGTTCATACTGGTCAGTATGATTCTGTATGGGAAAAATATCTCAGTAATACTAACTGACTTGCTACAAAAGTGTGCATTTGTTGGAAAAGCTTGTGTTATGACATGATATGACAAAATGTCTGCAGACTGGTGGCTAGTGACAGTGAAGAAATTAGTGTCCCTTACATGGTTCTATAGCAGATTTCTCTCTGTTTGACTGCTTGGAATGTAACACCTTTTTCTAAGTTGTGTTTTGCTGCAAATTTCTGGACAACTACAAACTCTTTTTTGGGTTAAATAACAGAATATTTAATCAGATACAGAGTAGTTCTTAGTATTGTTGGATATATATAGAGATTATTGCTCCCCCATGAGATTCTTAAATGACATAAAAATCTTAACTGAAGATCTTTCACTGATATCCTCTAATATACCTTCATGTTATCATACTTTCTATCGCAGAAACTGTAATAAAAATAAGCTTTCCTACTTCAAAATTTGAGTTACTATTGGTTTAATCCACATTGGGAAATATCCCTATAAAATGCAAAGTAATGTAAATGTATATATTCAGCTCATACCTCCTGATCATCTAGAATCAACACTAAACCTATATCATTATTGATCTGAAACAGGCGCTTTTAAGTTTAAGGCCCAAGCAGAAGTTGCATGGGCGGACCAAACCAAGCACATTCTTTAATCATAATGTGCAGTGTAATGTTATTTGTTTTGGATCAAGTTAAAGGAGATGAAAGAGTGCTGTTGAGCAATTAATGGAGAGAGAGCTGGGGCCAGGGTGCAGAGTGCTGAAGAGGGGCCAGCAAGCCTTTAGGGGGTGGCTTTAGTATCGCATGCCATCAAATCTCTGTGGAAACTTCTCCTTGCTGTTGTTAATGGTGTGCAGAGGAAAAGTGCCAGTTCAGCTTTAATAGACGTGTTATCTGCTATGACCACACAGGCGGCAGACATGATTCATTTGAGGCCCCCTCCACTTCATCTGGAGACAAATTTACCCTTGTATAGGCTATTTGTGAACTGAGACAAGCTAGACTGTAGCGATAAAACTGACCCCATCATAACCTCTGAAATCAAGAACCTCAAGTTAGTTTCAGAGTGCTACATAACCTGATGTGTTAAGATATCATGAAAAAATACATTCATTATCCTCCCACTAAGGAAGGGTTAGAACTGAAATGCCTCTGGAAACATTTTTAACCTATAATGGGCAGATTGCTGAAGCATAGGGTCATTGTGTTGTGTTGTAGTGTGGTGTTCTGGCATTGATAGAAGCAGAAAAAAAGATGTCAATAATCCAAGACTTCTGCAGCATTAAGCATGAGCAATATAGTTTCTGTGATAGCATTTTCCTGTGGAGTTTCAAATATTCTGCTCTGGCATCTGGCAGACAAGGTAGTTGCTTATTTGGATGAGTAACTCTGTCTGTGAGTATTATGCATAGTCAGAGGGAGCACGTGATGTTTTGATTTGTTTCAGATCACTTCAGCAATGGATTAAAGAGATTTCCACCTTTCTGTTAACGCTTTAATCTTTTGTTTAATTAAAAAAAAGGAAAATGTCAAAGTTAAAAACACTAAGGAGTTATATATTAAGGAATTATTGTGCTGGAAAAAAAGCAAATGTAGTGCAACAGACTAACACTGTATAAGCAGAATTATCCTGCAAAGAAAATTGTTGATACATAGAAGCCACAACAGTTTGGATCACTTTTGTGCATATGCTTTGAACATCTGAACATCTATCCACACTAAATCTATTCAGCTTGAGTTCAGCCAGCGATCAGGGAGGAATTCCTGCTGCTTTGAGCAGGCAGAAAGCAGGCGTGCTCTGGTGTGAAGAGACATGCTGGATGGGGGCTTTATTAAATAGACTAAAATAAACAGAGGGAGCAGTTGCAACACATTTTGCCAAAGCTACAACCCACAGGAATCCTGCAGGAAAAGAATACTCACAGTGTGATGCTTTTTTAATCCAACCCCAAACCCATTCTGAGGATGTAGACTAAACAAAGTACCATTCTGTAAACCACTATACTCACATCAATACATCACAATGCATCTCATGACAAATTGCTCTTACAGTTGAATTACAGATTAGTGGAGAGTGTGAACTACAACAAAAAATTGTAAATAAAACACATGTCAAAGCCAGAAATAAGAAATGCTCTTGAAAATTAGAAATATAAGATGATAATGTCTAATTGTGAGTAGCCGAAACAACATAAAAACAAGAAAACAGAACAAAATAAAATGAAAAAAGTAAATATTGTGTGAGCCAAAACATGTAAAATGGTAAAAAGAAAAAAAAAAAGTAAAAAATGTCACACCCGTTCATGTTTATCAGCTGTTTAATTTTGTAAGTTACTGGAGCTTTTGTTTGGTCTAAAATTAATAACATCAAATTCTATTGATTATTCCCTTTCCAGATGAGTTAGAGCAAAGGTGCACGCTGTACAACATCACCCTCAAAGGTTATTTCACATATTTGTAAAAGACACTTGAAGTTGAAAATTACAAAATTTTGAGAAAAAAAAAAGTAAAAAATGTCACACCCGTTCATGTTTATCAGCTGTTTAATTTTGTAAGTTACTGGAGCTTTTGTTTGGTCTAAAATTAATAACATCAAATTCTATTGATTATTCCCTTTCCAGATGAGTTAGAGCAAAGGTGCACGCTGTACAACATCACCCTCAAAGGTTATTTCACATATTTGTAAAAGACACTTGAAGTTGAAAATTACAAAATTTTGAGTAAAAGAAAACAATGAAACAATGATATTTTACACAGGTCATTAATAAAGTTAATTTAATTCAATTTAATTTAAAACAAGTTAATTTATATATATATCAATTAACCTGAAAACCTTTTAAATGGTTTTGTTTTGTTCTGCAAAGTAGATAATGAACTCTTAACATAATGTCTGCAGACAGATGTGCATCAGAATATGTCTATGAACACATGTCTCTGTAGAGTTACTTGATCAAAGTTTTTGGCTCTTTTTGATCAGAATAGTGAGCCGCTGTTCACATCTGTGGAACAGATGAGCATAATATATGGCAGGACACAATGAATGACATGGGCAGACAAATGTCTGATTGAGAAGGATAAAAAGAACCCACACAGACCACCACACTATACAGTGTTTTCATGTTCAGGGTAGTGCGAAGTGATCACAGCAAAGTTTCTCTGACAGAGTGGCATTGCTACAAAACCATTTCCCCTTTTGTTGACTGTAAATTAGAACTATTATGCAAAGTTTGTTTATGAAGTCATGTGGAAAACTATCTACATGTGAGTGTATGCAGCTTGGCTGAGGAATTGTTTTGTTTCCTGGAAATCACCTTTACAAACCCTCAACAGGCTTTAACATGCGTTCTGTGCATGTACACTGTCAAACCTTATCTTAGGCTTTCAGTAAGAGATGTTTCCTGTAACTTTTTATTGTCATTGGCAAGATATGACAAATGTCTGTAAACATTAAATATCTCAAGACCACTGCTGAGGCCTCAATTGCACATAAATGGCTTAAACCCAGTTTTTCATCAGAGATCCCCGTAGAGTAGAATTATTTAGTCTACGCTTGAGGCTTGAGCTACGACTGTGAAACAATCAATAATTGTACTAAACAAATCATGTGTTTTATCATTAGATACTGACTGACAACAGACATGAAGATATAATTCCTTCACAGTAATGTACCAAATCCAGTAGTAACCATCAAAGGGCTTACAGATATTGACATAAGAACACATAGAAACAACAGTTGTCATAATTATATAGCTTCTGGGCACACTTTAAGTTAGGGATAATTTTGTGTATTTCTCTGTAGATAATTGCATTGCTTGCTGTAATTATGTTGCTATGATCATAAGTGGTACGTGAAAAACATATGTATCAAGCCAAGAACAGATTAGACTCCTAGCTCTTACTAGTGACTTGTACATACAGCCACTGACATAATCTCCTTGTGCTGTAACCATGACAATAACAATTGCCTACACAGGCTTACACAAATAGATCCTCCTCAGTTTGGAATATACAGATTGCCCTGTAGAAAACCACTATTCACTAAGAATAGCCAGCCAAGTTTTATATTTTTGCTGCTCAGACATCAGAACAATGACTGAGCCACAATGATGAAATAATTACATACAGTATCTAG